TGATGAGCCAAGAATTTAGGCCTATATTTAGTGATTCAAATTCTAAAGAACAGATTTCTCTGCATATTAATACCTAGGAATTTGTAGTGTTAGAAATCAAAATGAATACATCTCTCTATCAGAATGTGAGTATATAAATTGGTTTAAATGAAAGATGCTTTCATGAATACAAAAGTGCTTCTGCCTACATTCTTAAATCACTATTAATTCAGCACTGTGTAATATAACGGATAATTACTGTGCTTTAATATGGATGCTAGTGGATGTGCTAGTCTTTCTAAATAGCTATTGTTGGCTAATAGTCTTGGGGGAACCATTCATATAGCCATTGTGGCTCTAAAAAAAATCTCTAAGTACCAGTGGGACAGACGTTTTTGAAGCATGGATAATATAAAATAAAATGCACTTTTATTTCAAGTGCATCATTTTGATTATAGTTTTTATTCATATCACTCAATTACATTCATTATCTTTGCAGCAAAAAAATAAAGGACTGCTTGTTATGTGAGGAAAAACTTTCAGAACAATGCAGTAGCTGAGAAAGAAGACTTTGATTGGTTGTGTTGGGAATCTGATCTGTTTACTGGGATACTTAACTGTTCTGTTCATTAGAATTTTAACTGGAGATGGTTTTATATGGCCTTATTGTTTTTGTTTTAATTAATATTTCCATGGCAGATAATTAGATAAGAACTGTTGAATTTTAAATATGGTCATAGCTTAGAGGGAAATTAGCATTTCTGGGTCAAAGCTTTTCACAAAATATTGTGATACTTGGGCTGATTAATTGCAGTGAAAGCCAAATAGGTTGCCACTATCCAACCAGACTCCAGCAGTCGGCATGGAATGGCTACTTATGTCAAAGTTAATGGTGTTCTTTTTAATATTAGCTACTAATGGAGTAAATCTTGATTAGAAAATAGTTCCTACTTCTTTAGATCCAGCTGAGTGTAAGAATATCTTACTCTGTCTGGCACATCAACCTTTTTAAGTGTCAAACCTAAAATTTAAAAAGTGTGAAGTTCCTGATGGGGTTACCTGGTGCTTTCTGAGTCTTGGTGGCTCCTACTTGTAAGAGTTACCGAAGACCTCAGAGCAGGCTACTCCATTGTCTGTGCCGTCTGTGCCTTGCAGTATGTTCCAAAAACAGCACCTTAACTTCTAATCATATCAGAGAAGTTAAGTGTTTTTTTTTTTTTACAAGAAGCTGAAGAGATGGGTCAGTGGTTAAGAGAGCTTACTACTCTTGCAGAGAACCTGGGTATGGTTCCCAAAGTACATATAAGACAGTTTTCCACCATTCATAGTTAGTTCCAGGAGATCCGCCCCTCTCCTATCATCTGCAGGCGCCACACACATGGCACACATACATACATTCGAGTCAAACACATAAATATAAAATAAAAAACACTTTAAAAGAGCTCTTATCAATCATTTATCATATTTTTAGTATATATGGGGAAGTATTCCAAAATGATAGCTTTCAGGTGCATTCCAAATTACATAGGTTTTCAGGCATCATGGATATGGCTGATTTTAATTTCAGATATTTAAAAAGCTGTAATAGAAGTCATTACATATGCCCAAATCTTTCATTATAATTACTAATTTTTAAAAACAGGCTGTTAGGTTAACTGGTTTGGGGCTTCTCCTAGCCTTTATAAAGAGAGCTGTGGGGCTTATAGCCAATCTGTCAATACAGGCTATGTACTGTCTGATTAGGTACACACTGTGTCTTTTTGTGCTAGGCTTAGCTTTTACCTAACAAAGCCTGTGTACACCTATTTGGAGCCTTTTAAAAAACAAATAGAGTTAGCCAGGTAGTGATGACACACGCCTTTAATCCCAGTACTCGGGAGGCAGAGACAAGTGGATCTCTGTGAGTTTGAAGCCAGCCTGTCTACAGAATGAGTTCCATGACAGCCAAGGCTCCACAGAGAAACCCTGTCTCAAAAAACTAATAACCAAAAGCGTTAAAACAAAAAGACAAGCAAGTCAGGTTGATGATTTGCTAGCATGTTGCAGTGTGAGAGGACTTGAAATTTAGGCTTGTAGTGGGTTTTAGATGCCATTTGTCATATTAATTGTTTTGATAAAGAACATTATGCATTAGAAAAGTCTTCGCTTCACTGCTGGGAATTGAAATTAGGGCTCAGTATAAATTATAAATATTTTTTGTTAAAAATTCTACTATGGTCTTCATTAATCGGCATCTTGGTTCACTTTAATGGCTGCTTGCAATGTGAAGGCAAACTCCAGCTGGGAAGATGGCTCTGTGTGTAACAGCACCTGCTACCTGAGTATGCAGGTCTACACAAGACTCCCCAGTTCCCATGTGAAAACCAGGCTTAGCTGTTCATGGACCCATAACCCCAGTACCTAGGGCAGTGCCTTAGTCAGTGTTCTGTTGACCATGCCAACTCTTGTAAAAGAAAGCATGTAGTTGCAACTGGCTTACTGTTCATCATCAGCATGGCAAAGAACATGGTGTCGCATGGGCAGCGTGAACCTAGAGAAACAGCTAAAAATTCTATATCTGGATCCACAGGCAGCAGGAAGAGAGAGAGCCACTGGACCTATTGAAACCTCCAAGCCCCTTAGTGGCACACTTCCTCTGACAAAGTCACACCTCTTAGTCCTTCTCAAACAGCACCTCTCCCTGATAATTAAACATTCAAATAGATGAGCCTATGGGGGCCGTTCTTATTCAGACCACCACAGGCAGAGACAGGACCAGTGCTTCTGGCAGCAACTCTAGCTCCAGGTTCTGCAAGAGACCCTGTCTCAAGGGAATAAGGTGGAGAATGATAAAGTAGGACATCTTATGTTCTCCTCGGACCTCTACAGGCGGACACGCACATACACACACACACCACATGCACATATACTCGCAACACAATACATACACAACACATACATACACCACACATACACACAACACACACAGAACCACATGCACACATACACACAACACAACACACACATACACCATACACACACATAAACACCACACCATATACAAAACCTTTTAAATATCACTGTTTGCAGCCATTGCCTAATGTAGATCAGAATTATCTTAACATTGTGTTGCCAAGTGAAACCTAGAAACAGCCCTGTGGCTGATAAAGGACTATTGGTGTCAACTTATTGGAGTGGGATTTGCATTTGTAGATACAGCCTTACTATTTGCATTGATTTTTTTTTTAATTTTTGGAGAAAATTTATCTAGCTGTATATAACTAAATTCTGGAATTTTTCTTTTGTTCAGTATTCGTAGAGCTATGCAGTAGACAATTAGTTATACCAAGCATTTATTAAAGTTTAGATCTCGGACAACAGAACCGATTGGTTGTCCTAGCTCAAACTACTCTTCCAAAATACCACATTCTGAGAAGTTTGTAAACAAAATATAAATCCAGTTATTTTCACAGTTAGGAAGGCCGGAAAGCTCAAAAGCAAGACATTGCCTTAGTCAGTGTCTGATGAGGACTTGATCCCAGTTCAAAGCTGGTGTACTGTGTGCTCACGTAGTAGATAAGGAAGCAGGCACAGAGGACTTGTAAACATCACTAATCCCAGCCATAAAGGATCCACCCTCTAGACTCCATCCAGTCCTAATCACATGTCAAATACTCTGCCTTCTAATTTTATCATGTTAGGGGGTAGGTTTCAATTTATGAAGTTGGAGGTGGTACCAGTCTTCAGTCTGTAATAATACATAATTCCATTACCTTCATAATTTATTAGTGTTTCATACGACTAAAAATGCTCTTTTCACAATGTAAAAGATGAGGAAGTTAAATGATGCCGGAAGTGAGTTAAAGAGACACGACAGAGCGACCAAGGTGAAGCTACTTTGCGTTTTACACATGATCTCTGTTGCTTTGGAAGTTGTGTTGGGGGTGGAGTTTGCCTGTTTTGTACCTTCATATCACATGTCATCTTTTCCCAAAACACTCAGAAAAGAGGGATTGGGGCTTGTAGGGTCTGGGACACAGAAAGTACAATGATTAGTGTGTATAAAAATGTCAAACCTATTATTTCATACATTAAAAATATGAGATTACAAATGGAGTTAGGAAGAAGCATTTTTTAAGGCTAGAATTTAGGCTCCTCCTGACTTTTGCTGGCATTGGATTGGTCTCTCCTCACCCCCGAATTTGCCGGCATTGGGTCGGTCTCTCTTCAGCCCAGACTTTTGCTGGCATTGGGTCGGTCTCTCTTCACCCCTGACTTTTGCTGGCATTGGATCGGTTTCTCTTCACCCCTGACTTTTGCTGGCATTGGGTCTGTCCCTCTTCACCCCTGACTTTTGCCGGCATTGGGTCGGTCTCTCTTCAGCCCCGACTTTTGCCGGCATTGGGTCGGTCTCTCTTCAACATAGTAAGGAGATCTTGCATCACTTTCTCAGCTTTTGTTTGTGGTATTGATGCAAACTTGAGGCCTCATAGTACTAGGAAAGCAGTTTATCCACCATTGAACCACTCCTTACAGATGCATCGAAAGGTAAAAGTGAACGGGCTTTCCCTGATGTGTGTCTTGTGGCTTTCTTAATCCTTCTTCTAGTCCTAAATGAAATGAATGGCTTCGTAAACTCTTGCTTCCTCAGAACTTGAAGGCTTCTTTTTCTGTACAATTGGAGTATATATCTCAAAAGGCTTAGGAACTTCATTTTTTAAAACACATATTTATGCTATGCACTGGTTTTCTTTGTCTCTCTCTCTCTCTCTGTTGTTTTTATTGAGCTATATATTTTTAGCCACTCCCCTTCCTTTCTCCCCCCCTCCCTTTCTGCCCTCTCCCATGATCCCCACACTCCCAATTTGCTCAGGAGATCTTGTCTTTTTCTTCTTCCCTTGTAGAAATCTCCATGTATGTTTCTCTCGGGGTCCTCTTCACTCTAGCCCCCAGTCAGTCAGCATGTTTCTGCAATGGACACTATTCAGGTACCTTGTCCATCCTTCCTCTGCTCACATTGTGTTTGTTTTCTTCTTTTGCAGAGACGCTCCTCGATGACTTCCTTCTCACGTATACAGTATTCATGACAACTGATGACCTGTGCCAGGCGCTATTGAGACAATATCCTTCATTAACTTCAGGACGCTCTGCGGGCTTCCTCTCAGACAGATGTCCCACATTACGAATTAACTGCCTTTCCTAATTTACTCAACCCACAGTGAAGTGTGAATGTGTTAAATATTAATGTGATGCTATCCAAGGTGAAGATGGAATGAGACAGGCTAGACAGGGATAGCAGGGAATTCAGGTCTGCTGTCTTCATAGTCTACTGTGGGCAAAGGGTACTGTGAATATCGTGTTTACTTTATATCTGCTTCTCATGGTTGCTTAGGGAGCTGGAAGGAAACTTGCCTTCTAGGTAAACTCAAGTGAACAGGTCAAGTGGATCGACAATAACAAACATTAAGTATTTTTATAGAGAATCAATCATTTAGAGTTAGACTTCTTGTGCAACACCCCTCTGTGTCTGTGTGTGTCTGTGTATGTGTGCACATGAACACATATGCGTGTGTGTGTGTGTGTGTGTGTGTGTGCGTGTGCGCGTGTGTGTGTGATATCATATTTTTGGGAAATCTCTCTGGACACCTGAACTGTCTTCCCCGTAGGAAATCCTTTCATCCCTGGATGTAATTGTCATCTATTTGGAGTGTTTTCACTCACTGCATACTTTCCTCCAGTGTCAGGTGGGATTAGAAGGTTAATCGCTTGCTAAGAAGCCTTATAATTTTACTCGGTAACCAGAGAGGTTCTGCAAACTGATGAGAAATCTCCACCAGGGCTTCTTGCCTCACTGTACTTAGAGAAGATACCTCAAAAGCAATTAAGTATTTAATAAATTAATTTAGTTAATTAATTTTATTTCTAATAGTAATAAATTAATTATAGCCCTTAAGCATTTAATAAGAAACTTTACTGATTTTAATAAAGGAAACTAGAGATTCCACTTCAATCTCTGTAGGAGAACACGAATAAAGTAATCCCACACCAGCTCAGAATTGAGTATAATAAAGCTTCCTTTATTTAGGAGGGACTCACAGATCACTATCCTCTGCACAAATGGGGAACAGGAATTGAATCCATCAGTCAAGGGAAAGGGAGAGAGAGAGAGAGAGAGAGAGAGAGAGAGAGAGAGAGAGAGAGAGAGAGAAACATGTTTTTGGTGCCCAATGCCACACCCATGGCACACATACCTGGTACAGTATCTCAAAGCCATTGGCTGAAGGAGGTTCCTCAGCAAATCTCCATAGGAAATGTTCAGGAAAATGGATTATAAGCCAAAGATTTGATTAAAATCTAATGATAATAGCCATTTAAGATTCTTTTCCTGTTAAATAATTGTTATATGTCTCCCAACTATATCCCAACTATACTGCATTTTCCCACCTAAAAGAATACTTTAAAACTTCATAAGGTGTTAAAAATAAAACATCTCTTAAAAACTTATGACTAAGTCTGCTCTACAGAGTGTTCAGAACAGCCAAGGCGACCCAGAGAAGCCCTGTCCCAAAAACAAAAACCAAGAGTATTTATAGATTTATATATGTGCATATGAACCAGAAATAACATCTGTTTATGCACGTGCTGCTTTGGAGCTTCGCTGGACCCGCCAACCAAACAGATCTATAGCTATGTTGACAGTTCTAAAGTCTGACCAATAAAACTGATCTCGAAATATTAGTTTTGAATTGGAAAATTTCAACAATATGCGGATTTTTTTCTCACAGTTTTGAAGTGGAGTGTTGTTTTTTTTTAAAAAACAATAATTATGTTTTTAAATTTCTCCTTCAGATGTATTTTGGGAAAGAAATCTGTGAGCTAATTTCATCTTCATTTTAATGCTTACCTACTTGAAGGCAGTTACCACCCATTAGCTCTAAAATTATGTCCTATAGCAAACTGTTGTCTTCAGCTATGGTCCGAATATTATTTTTATTACCACTTAGTAGTGTACTGGCCCTGTGGATGTTTCCAAAGAATGTCTGAGGGTCTCCTTGGGTATTTGTGTTGTTCAGTCTTTAGCTGGGACATTTTATATGGAATTTTAGTTCTTTCTGCAACTTTTTCATTATTAAAGTCCTCATTCTTGTTTGTGTTTTCTCATGATTTATAAACACTATTTGTAGACTGGGACTATTTTAGAGTGCTTGGATATTTTATATGGATATTTTTATTGTAATAGGTTCGAATGGCTTTTGACTTTTGTCATAGTAAAGCACATTATTTAGGTTCATAGCCAGGGCCAGCTAATATTCAGCGCATTGCAAAGATCCTGCAGCTCATCCTGTGCACTTCCCCCACTCCTCCATTTATAAATCAGTATAAATAGGCCTGGGCCAAATATAAAAGAACCTATACCTTACTACAGAAGTAGAAGAACAAATGCCAGTTTAACCCTTAAGTGTTCTAAAAGGTACATATATCACGGGGAACATGAGGTTAAGAAAACAAATATTAATGACTGTAAATTGGGAATAATAGTTGAACACTCAAAGTCTTGACATTGCTTTATTCTGCTGATGCAAGACTGTCATACTTAAAAATGACATTTGAATGAGAAGCGCAGAATTTCACTAGAAGAGATTAAAGTTGTTGGTGTTTCTCAGCTGGCTACATCTTCCCCCATGCTGGCCATTGTGAAAACAGAACACATGCAAACAGACATAACACAGAGTTACCCTTCAGAGTTGCTTTTCAAGAGAAAAATTGAAAGAAATAGGCACTCTAACAGAAGTTTTTTGTTTGTATGGCTCAGCTGATTTTACAAGAAGAATTTAAAAGTAGCCACAAAGTAACCTTGCAAGTGAGGGAGAAAGTGAAGGGAGCCATGTGTTTACATAGTTACGAAGTCTGATGAATAATAGCTCCTTTCTGTTTTGCAGCTGTTCATCGGCATTAACAGATAGACACTCTTGATGAACCATCTCATAATGTTTCCTATGTCTAGTAGCTTTTCAGCTCAATCAGTACAGCCAGGGCCCAGGAATGTTGGCGAGGCTGCACCTGTAACCCCAGCTCTTGGGAAGTAAGGATCAGAGGATGAAAAGTTGAGGCAGCCTCTGCTGCAAGAGACTTTGTCCTGGAGAACAGAGAGAGACTCATTCTGAGGAAATAAGAGTATGTGAATTTAGACAATTCATTCCTAGTCATCTAAGCTTGCTACTTTGAAGTTATTTTAATAATTAGTTAATACATGGTCATTATATATAAATTAGGAAGTGACAATTAGTAAAATGACTCAGCTATTCTCAAATCTCGCTACTCTGAAAAGCCACTGTTAATCATCTGTATATCTTTCTAAGTAATTGAAATATTCATATAAGCATTGTTAAAATAGTCATGTAAGCATTGTTAACCCAAGTAGAAAATGCTGCTGTCTTTTGGTTTTTATGCTCAGCAGTATGCTGTAATGTTCATGTAATGACCCCCATTTTCATGTCCTCAGAACCACTTATTTAACTGAGTTCTTGCTGGGACACATAGCCCTTCCCTGTTATGTTTTAAATTTACTTTAATGAAGGTGAAAATCTCGACCCTTTTATCTGGGCCCTTGCACATTCATCTGGTTCTTTCATCAAGGAAATTCTTAGGATCCGGCATTTGAATCAGATCATAAATTGTGCTTCAGACAGCTGTGCTCATCTGGAACAACTTTAGAAGCAACTGCTTTTATAAAATATGAAGTTCTGCAGATCACAGATGGCCTGGCTTCCTTCTGATGTGCCTCACTGACACAGTGTTCACCTGTGCTGTGAGGCCGCATTTGCCTTGGAAGTGAGTCTGAAATCAGCGGGCCTTCCTGTGTCCTTTGAACTGACGTGAAGCCCACACTGCCCCTAAGACTTTTCCAGCAGCTGCAGTGTGAGGTCCAGCCCTCAACTGCACGGTCTCCTTCTGGGGATCTTCCGTTTGCTCCTGGGTTTGCTTTCATGCCTTTCAGAGCATACTGTCCACTCTCCCTGCTCAGGGTCTATTCTTTATCCAGCTCTGAATTCTTTGGAAAATATGCTGTAGCCTACTTTGTAAAAAGCTACACCAAATAGGCCTTTTCACATTTTGTATTTCAACAACACGGTGTTCTTTCTTAACCATTTGCACCTATTCTGCTAAGAAGCATCAAGGGGAAGAAGAAAAATCAGATGTCCCTTGTCGGAAGCGTAAGGTCCTACATCTGGTTTCACAGTGGATTGCTCTGTACAAAGACTGGCTACATGAAGATGAACATTCAAAAATGTTTCTAAAGGTACTCCTACAATTTCAAGTATTTTGATGTTGAGTGACTGATTTTATTTTCATCTATATGATTCAAAAAAATCTTATTTTTAGTCATTCAGGTTTTGTATGTCAAATACAGTGAAAGTATAAATTCATTCTAACTTCCATGCCTGGCATTCTCTATAAAAGGAGGAAATTATTTTAATAATTTTAAATATATTATGAAAAATTATATATGATAATATTTATATATACTAATTTTGGATGATTTATTTAAATCATGACAATCTTTTGCAAATTAGATAAATAAGATAAACCAAAATATACTCTGAGATTTAATGCTAGATTTATGATAATGTTAAAACGAACAACACCTATATAGGCAAACAGTACTTGATAAGCATTTAAAAATCTCCTTAATCATATGTATATTGTATCATAATATGAAATCTAAATACATGATGTATTTGAAAATATATTTAAAAATAGATACTTGGCATTAAACTTTGAAATAGTAACAATCTGAAAGACACTAACCTAGATAAACCAATCTATCTAAATATTAATAATTTATAATATGTATTTACCATGGACAGTTCTCTGGATTAGAGAGTTTGGCTTATTTGACCATTGTATTGGATATACAAATCAGCACAAAGAAAGGTTAGACTGGGATTTTAGCAAGAAATCTGCTTTAGAATAGTTAAATGTCTGAGCTCATTCTGCCTATCATAAAGGACATGGCATTGAACTTACCATTCACTTAGCCATCCCTCTGCCTAAACTCGGTTATTTTTCAAACCTACTGGTTATTTTAATTAATATGTTTTCCTCTCAGGTGGTCATGCAGGTGTTCTGTTTTGTGATCTAAACTACTTGTGGAAAATCTCTGAGACCCAGTTTCTAGCATCCCCAACAGACAGCTTTTAAAAGCAGTCTAAGAGAGCAATGCGGCGGGGGGGGGGGGGGGTTGAGTAGCTAAGGTGAAACTTCAGTCCTGAGTTTCACCTCACTTCCTGCAACAAGATAACCATTACCAGAGCCTTTTTTCTTGGTGATGGTACAGGGACTGAATGAAGGTGTGCTACCACTGAGCTATATGGCTGGCCCTGTCTTCATCTGAATCCTCACACAACAGGCAGTGAATGGTTACAGTTGCCGTTTCTTGTCTCCACCCTCTCTGCAGACCATCTACAGGAATGTACTGGATGATGTCTACGAATACCCAATTCTCGAGAAAGAACTGAAAGAATTTCAGAAGATACTTGGGATGCATCGCCGGCAGTAAGTATTTAGCTTTTCCCATAGCAGTTAATGAATGCAATAGCCAGTGTAAGAATTTAGGCTGGCGTGTACGTACAGTCAATGATTTTTGACATCTTAACCCTGGATTTATCTTGATTACCTAACATTTCTAGTAGTAAATTATGTGTTTTTATTTTTGTGAATAAAAATAGAACACTAGTCATACTCACTGACTTTTTGTTTTCTTTTTAAGTTTTCTATGATAAAAGCAGACTGGGCCATGAGAACCTAAGTACATAAAACCAGTAAATTATTCCTTAATTTTAAGTCTATATTAAGAAAATATCTGTAAATAGGTCCAGTGAGTCACAGAGCATTTCGTAAGCTCAGTGTTATGAGGTCCCCGAGGTTTCCTTTCTCTTTAGAAAGATTGGAGAAAGCCCCTTCCTCAAGTGACTGTGGAGTGCCCGAGTGTCCCAGAAGTAGCACTCACACGTCTTCAGATTGGCAGTACTTGCCTTTGCTTGGTTTAACTGATTCTCTGTTAATTTTGGTAAATGAAGACACTGAGTCATTATTCAGTTCCAAGGTCCAGTCTTTGCCATGTCTATCCACTTTGTAGTGCAGTTCCTTATTTTTAGTAGCGTGAAGCAAGTACACCATCAGGTTGGAGATGCTTTTAAGACTTCAGCAACAGTGAGTGCATGTCTCAAGAAATGCAAGTTCAGGCCTTTGAGATCACTGATTTAGCTGTAGTAAAGGGGCCCCATCATGAATGAAAGTTGTACATAGATCAGTCTTAAGGAGCAAGTGAGCCTTTGGTTCAGTTGTCAGGATTGCATGTCTGAAAATTGGGTGCAAGGTAGGACAGTGTTTTAGAAATGATCACAGTATCATATACATATATGAATAGCTTAGTATTGAGTTGAAATTATAATTAGTAAATGAAACAAAAAAGGAAAGAAACTGTTAAGTTGGGAGCATAGCCCCAGCCCCTAGCATCCATCCCAGCCTCTCTGGCCTGGGAGTGGTATTGGTCTGGATTCCAAATCCCAGCATGGCAGGGTATTTGAGTGAGCTCCCAGAGGAGAAACACGTGGTTTTGAGGTGTGCATGGGCTCCCTGCTGTCCTGTCTCCCCGCCATGTGCTCGGCCACCTGAGAGCGTCATTCTTAATAAAACAATGGGCATTTTGATTCGGTTTGATTTGGCCTAATTGGATTTTTTGTGCAGGTGGAGCTGCCCTTTTCTTATTATTTTTACTTATCAGAAACTTTATGACAAAATAATCTCTCCTTTGGATGTGGCCCTGCACTATGAAGTAGAATTGTTACGGTTAGGAAACAGTAATGCCTGGTTTAGTATACTTAAATATATTAACTCTATCACTGAAGTCTAGTACATTCCATTAAAATTTTTCCATTATAACAGAAAATAGTAAGTTGGATTGAGAAAATTGTAGTAGGATACGGTTGGGCTAGAGGTGTAGCTTAGGGTTAACTATAACTGTGGGTCATGTCCCACAACACAAGCGCACAGAGAAGGGTTGGGGCCTCGCTTCTTTAGTATAAGACTAAACGAGACGTGGGCCAGCCTTCGCCTTGCTCTCTGTAAGTAGAAAGCACAATGCATGTGTCCAACAAGTAGCTTTTTTTCATCCTAGTTCATTTGAAACTTGGAATGCAATTTCAGATACATAGTAGATTAATGGTGAATAGTGTATTTTATCTTTTTGTTTTGTTTTTGAGATAGGGTCTCACTCTGTGGCCCAGGCTAACATGAAACTTACTCTATGATCCAGGAAGACCACCATCTTGCCTCTGCTTAGCCTCCTGGGTGTAGGGATTATAGACATGTACCACTATACCAATCAGTTTTGTTCTCTTTCATTTGTCTACTTTAATGACATTTATTTATTTGTTGTAATAGGAGTGGCGAGGCTGCGTCCCGCCACCCAGCTAGCTTTACACCTGAAATAATTACATGGAAACTGTATTCTTTTAAACACTGCCTGGCCCATTAGTTCCAGCCTCTTATTGGCTAACTCTTACATATTGACCTAACCCATTTCTAATAATCTGTGTAGCCCACGAGCTGGCTTACCAGGAATGATCTTAAACTGCATCTGCCTGGAGTGGGAGAATCATGGCAACTCCTTGACTCAGCTTCTTTGCTGGCTTACCAGGAATGATCTTAAACTGCATCTGCCTGGAGTGGGAGAATCATGGCAACTCCTTGACTCAGCTTCTTTCTCCCAGCATTCTGTTCTGTTTACTCCGCCTACCTAATTTTATGTCCTATTAAAGGGCCAAGGCAGTCTCTTTATTTAACCAATAGAATTAACACAAGCCAGAAGACTCTCCTCCATCATTTCCCCTTTTTCTGTTTAAACAAAAAAGGAAGGCTTTCATTTTAACATAGTAAGATTACATATAACAAAAGAGTTATCAAGCAAGAATTATAGTTACAATATTTATATCTATTTCATCTTTTATCATAACTAAGGAAAACTATAACTATAACTAACCATTCTTCAACTCCATCAAAGACTCCAGAAGGATATAATATTACCTAAGCAAACAAGAAATCCAAAGCTCTAGAAATGACAGAGACATCTCGCTGCCTGTACAGTCACCCAAAGTTCCTCTGTACCGTTGGGGTATCCATCTTCAACCTTCAGGCCCGTAGTATCCAGCAGACATTTCCATGAAGCAGGAAATTTCAAAGACAGTTCAGTCACTATCTGCTGTGTCCTGCAGAATGTCTCACAGACTCTTTCATGAGTCATGAACCCCGAAGGATCATCTCACCTTTAGGCAAGTTCAGCAGTCCTCTCTCTGCGGGTTCTCTGTGTCCAGTTTATGCAACAGTCCAGGCAAGAGCAGTTTCTTGCCCAAATGGCTATCAAACTCCATAAGAATCCTCTTTGATGCCCATCTTCCTCTTGAAGTAGATTGCTGCCGCCAGGAGCAGACATGTCTCATTGTCATGAAAAGTCCTAAGTTATTAAAATATTTTAAATGCCATATTCTGCAGCCTTTGAGAGATATGAAGAATACCTATCTGAAATATATCTCTATATATCTAGAAAATCTAACTAACATGACTACAAGCTTTACTATTATCGATGATTATCCATTAACAACCTATATTTCTTAATTATACAGTACATTTTTAAATGAACTACACAATCACAATACCTTAATCAAGATCAAGAAATACATATACATATAACAAAATTGACCTTAAAATCCATACCAATGCAAATTATTCATACCTATATCATTTCCCCTTTTAAATGTGAAAGAACATTTATAAACAATGTTTTGGGAACATGGGCGCAGTTTTTTCTCTCCAAACTGCTTCCTGCTGAATGGGGGCGCTGTTAATCAGATCATTTAGGGTGTAACCTGTATGCCAGGTTTATCTCAGTTGACAGTTGAGTGAAGTAATTTTTTGAGGGTGTTCACAGCAACTTTTCGGGAGGTCGTGGTCTATCATACCATATGGGGATAGAATCAATCCACAGGGTCTGATCCTCTGTGAAAACAAAAGAAGACCCTCTCCAAAGCATCATATCCTTAGACCCAAATTCTGAAATCGTAATACCCTTATATCCATTCTGGTTTAGCTTGGCAGCCCATGTAATGAAATGTTTCTCTGTACTTAGCTCCTTCACAGTCAAAAATTTTAAAGAAAACACAATGTACATAATCCAGACTCTCTGTGAATTTTCCATTTTTACGTGGCTTATTTTTCTTTATTTCTTTTAATCTCTTAACTATCTGTACTCTGTTTCGTTAAAGACTTTACCCTTTTTTTAAGACATTAACTTTATTCTTTATATTCTTTTTCTTCTCTCTCCCAAGCCTACGTACATTCATCCAACAGTGTCTGAATCTGTTTTATTGTGAATCTGTAATTTTTTTTTTTTTTTTTTACTATCCAGGAGCACTTTGTTTTGCGCCTTTAAATCACTAAGCACTTAAGAATCTAACCTGTGGGGGCTGGAGAGATGGCTCAGTGGTTAAGAGCATTGCCTTGCTCTTCCAAAGGTCCTGAGTTCAATTCCCAGCAACCACATGGTGGCTCAAAACCATCTGTAAAGAGGTCTGGCGCCCTCTTCTGGCCTTCAGGCATATACACAGACAGACTATTGTATACATAATAAATAAATAAATAAATATTTTTTTTTTAAAAAAAAAGAATCTAAGCTGTGACAATTCCTAGGTCAAAAACAGGTAGTGCCTGCTTGCCCTGCCCAGTACAACATGGCGGAGCAGCTCGTGCCTCTGATCCTTGTACATTGCACCAGTAGCATGGTGGAGCTGCTTGTGCCTCTGAGCCACAGCACACAATGACTTCCTTTTAGGCACGCAGCAAGTCTAGTTGCCATCAAACAAATCATAGCACTTTACTCCAAATGCACCATTCAAAAGCTCTGTCTCCTGCAAGAGCCAGACAGAGATTGCAATGGCAGCACAGCCCAGAAAGCTGGCATATTAAAACAGCCAGGTTTTTCCTGCTGCTGAGTCAGGAAAATTTCAAAATGGAGGACGTACCATTTTGTGCTAGCTCTGGGGCCGCCAGGTAGGAGCGGCACTCAGCACTTTAACTCTGAGACTGAGCATGCAGCACAGAAACTCTTTTCATCCAAGTTACATCCAAATCTGACACTCAGAGCACTGCGCAGTCTGAAAACGCGTCTCTGTATGGCGGCAGGAATCCACCATGTTCTTCCGCCTGCCTAAGCCTGATTCTGCCATCTGCCCAAGTGCAGGCGGGGAGCACTAAGCCACCAGCATGGTCTCAGAGCACTCTCCTTCCGATCCCAAGCGGGAACACAAACATCCAGTCCCAAATGCTTTAAAGCCAGAGTTCACGCTGGCAGCACAGCCCCAAGAAGCTGCGCTTTAAAATGACGCAGCATTTTTTCTGCTGCTGTTGCCGAATCAGGAAATCTCTCTACAGCACGCCACCAACAAACAGCAAAAATATGTGTTAAACTCTCTCTCCCTTATTTTTAAGTCTTTTTAGGTTTTTAAGTGGATTTAGTCCATCATGTCGGGCGCCACTCTGTTGTAGTAGGAGCAGCAGGCCGCTTCCCGCCGCCCGCACGGCTAGCTTTACCTGAAATAATTACACAGAAACTGTATTCTTTTAAACACTGCCTGGCCCATTAGTTCCAGCCTCTTATTGGTTAGCTCTTATATATCGATCTAACCCATTTCTAATATCCCTGTAACACCACGAGGTGTCTTACCAGGGAAGATCTTAACCTTCGTCTCTCCCAGCATTCTGTTCTGTTTACTCCACCTACCTAATTTTATGTCCTATTAAAGGGCCAAGGCAGTCTCTTTATTTAACCAATGAAATTAACACAAGCCAGAAGACTCTCCCCCATCATTTATTTGTTTGTTTGTGTTGCTATGTGGCTGTGTCATGGTGTGTGTGTGTGTATGTGTGTGTGTGTGTGTGTGTATGTGTGTGTGCGCGCGCGCCATGGTGTGTGTATGTGATGGTGTGTGTGTCATGGTGTGTACATGGGTATTTATCATGGTATGTGGTGTGTCATAGTGTGTGTGAGTGTGGGGGGGTGTCATAGTGTGGGTGTGTAAGTGCCATGGTGTGAGTGTGGGTGTGTGTCATGGTATGTGGTGTGTCAATGGTGTGTGTGTGTGAGTGTGTGTTTGTGTAGGTGTGTCATGGTGCTCTAGTTTGATCTCTGCTGCTGTGATGAAACACTGACCAAAATAAACAATTTAGAAAGAGAGTCTTATTTGTCTCAAGGGAAATCAAGGCAGGAACTAAAGCAAAATCCTGGAGGGACACTGCTGACTGGCTTGTTCTCCATGACTTATTCAGTTTACTTTCTTGTACAGCTCAAGACTACCTCTTCTGGCTGGCGTCACCCACAGAGAGTTGGGCCTTTCCACAGTATACATTAATCAAAAAAAAACTGCTTACAGGCCAGGGTGATGGAGGCAAATCCTCATTTGCAGTCCCCTGTTCCAAAGTATCGCATTGATCAAAACAAAACAAAACAAAAACCAGCATGTCCGAGTGGAGGTCAGAGAACAGCCTTCAGAGTCAGCTCTCTCTCCACAGTATAGATCTTGGGTTTGGAACTCCGGTCCCCAGGCTTAGCAGTTAGCGCCTTCCCCTGCTTATCTGCCTCTCTGGCTCATCTGTACAGCACTCCTGAAGTGGGTCTTCCGCAGTCTCATGTCTTACCTTTTTCTTTGTAGCACTGTTGATGAGTACTCACCACAAAGGAAGGTAGGTAAATGCTTTCCTATCTGCAGGGGAGCAGGGAGGGGGTCTGGCTTGGAAAGCTTGCCCTGCCTGATTTAGCATTTTCCTTGCAATTAAAGTGAATACTGCCTCAAATCTAACATAGTGAGATAGGGAAACCCAGGGATGCAGCCTGCATTGTCCTGCCTTGCTTTATCTCAGGCCTGATTACATATGAACCCTTGACTTTTTGACAGTGTGCATATTTTCTGATACATTTTAAAGCCTCAGAACTTCCCTACTGTTACCAAACTGATAGAATTTTGAATTTTAAACTGCTCATATGCCTCCCTATAAATCCAAGTAAGAATCTTAGCTAGAGGATTTTCCTTACTCCAAGAGTAAGTCTTCTGAAAATTTTCAGCAGGACAGAGAGATGGTAGCAAGTGTGTTGTATTTCCATTGAACTTGGTGAGGGGGAATGTAGGAGAAGACATTGGTCAGTGTCTGGGAAAAGGTGGGTAACCATAATTAACCAATGGCGGGAGTGTGAAATGACCTCGCAAACTGGAAAAGGCAGGAGCTAAGATTGCTATAACTGTGTCTCAGAACTCGCACTGGGATGAAGAAAGTGTCTTCTAAAGAACTGTGAGTGTTTCTGAGGTGTCCTCTGCACCAAATAGACCAAGGGGCTTTTGCTTGGCTAACTCTTTTGGAACGTGCTGTAAATAGCTGTGACTTTTCAGAGGGCAAGGGTACATTCATTCATTGTTCTTTCTCCCTTTTCGCAGAGTAAAGCCCTTTTCCACCAATTCAGTCTTAAGGAGAACTGGCTGCAGCATAGAGGAACTGTGGCTGACACAGAGGAAAGTGAGTAGGCACACAAGAGGGCCAGCATCCTCCTCCAGGAGCACATCTTGCCTACAACTGTCATTTCTAGCCATCATTCCTCTTTAGCACAAATGTTAATATCAAATGTCATGGCTTTTTTTTTTTTTGGTTTGAGTTAATGCAGTGTTTGTTCAAAGACCACGATATTCTTACTTGGAGAAGCAAAGAACAGGAATGTGTGCACAGAACCAGCCCTCTCGCATTCTACAAAATACTCTGGAAACTCAACTTTTGCTTCTCTGAGCCTTCCTTCTGGATCTGGCTACCCATGGTCCATGGTTCATGATTGACCAGAAGGGCCACCAAAGCCAGTGTGCAGGGTCTTAGCTGAGTTGGTCCCTGAGATTTAGAAGAGCAAATGTTCAGAGAATAAGGAGAGAATGGGTGTGAGAGACGGTCACCAGAAGCTCCAGGGTACTCAGTCAGTGGTCCTTGTTCAATAGGGCTCACGACATCCCTTGCGGGTAGAGGCATTCAGCAAGCACAGGGGAAAAGCCTTGTGAGCGTTTTGGAGGTGCTGGTATGTTTTCAACTAGACGCTCTTATGGCAGAGCCTAGATGGTGCGGAGGTCCCTGTTTGAGTAGAGGTTGAGTCAGGGCAGGCCGAGAGACAGGACTGAAATGCCTGTGCTGTTGTCAACTTGAGAAGCTTTCCACTCATCCTCCTCCATGTGCTAAAGGGTCAGTGTTTACTATTTGTTTGAATTTTCTAACAATGCCAAAATAATTGTCTTAATGACAAACAAACAAATCTGTCCCATGGCATAGGCTAATGCCCCCTGCAGCAAGGGTTCTGTTGGTCTGTGTTAGCTGTCTTCTGCCCCAAATGAAAGAGCAAATGCAATTACCTTACCTCCTAATGCGTTAATCGCTGACCTTCCTTGTCCATTTCTCTTATAATTTAATTGTGGAGTTGGCTAAGCTGAGCTTCAAAGAGACTTCAGCATGGCAAAGCCCCAGGCTCTTCTTGTTTATCAGTTTATTACGCAAGGACAAACTCAGCCTCTATGTAGTAGTTTATAGGCTCAATCTTTACTCCAAATCTCCATTTCCCTAATGGAAGAGGAGGAGGAGGAAAACCTCTCTCTTTCCCAAGTCTGCTGACAAAACATGAAGTAATGATTTGTCAAAAGCTACTGATCTAGTGGCACGCTGTGGCACACCTAACCAAAGCAAAGACTAGAGTGTCTGGTGCGGGCAGTGTATCTGTTTGAGGCTCGATGATAGCAGTTGGCTCTGGGCTTGCTGCCTTTTCATTTCTAGAAAACCATCCTTGAGTTAATTTTGTGATACCATTTACATAGCATATAAAATTTCCATTAAATCTGTAACCCCCTGCTTATTTTTGAGAAACTATAGAAGTTTGTCTGAGCATATTGTTGTCCTGTTCAGTCTAAAGAAGCTAGCATTTGCATGCTAAAGGAAGCTGTTGCAGGAAGTAACAAGTCAGTGATACTCATCACTACTAAAACTATCTCTGCTTTGCAAATCATGAAAAGACTTTTTGCCAGAGCCCAATCATCCTGACAGTGATAATACGCTATTAATCATTAATAACACTGCAAACATTAAAGGGAAGTTTTCCAAAGCTAGAAATAGGACCTCTATTTAAAAACTCAAACGCAAATGGATATGGGTCGAGGCTGAGGCTCATGCAGGCTCATTCTCAAATGACTGAGAAAGCTGCACACAAGAACCAAGGCAAATGACAGACTTTCAGATCAGCTTCCAAGAATTCCGGTAGCAAGTGTGCAGTTCTTGATTGGGCCACTGAGACGGTCCTGAAATGGAGTGTAAAGTAAAAATGTATGCATTAGACATTTTAATACGCTGCTTTGGGAGATCTTCGTAGCTCTCAAGGAAGGGGTTCAAAAGTACAGTCTTTGGGGCATGGTTTCCGTGTCCTCTAACCAGGCAGTCTGTCCCCAGCTCATGCTGCTGTGACTCAGGGATCCCTTGCAGTGTGAAAAACCATGCTCCTACATGGTCCCTGCAAGCATATGCTGACAAGCTGCACCCTTGCATCCTCATGTCCTAAATGCATCTAGCTGCACATCCTTTTCACTTAAGACAACAGCGAGGTGATACCTTAATTAGAAAAGTCTGTGACCTTGTGATCACGATTCTCTGGTTATTGTTCTTTTGACTTCTGCAGTTTTTTGCCATGTGTATATAACGGAGCACTCCTATGTCAGTGTGAAGGCAAAAGTTTCCAGTACGGCCCAGGAGATCCTGAAGGTTGTGGCTGAGAAGCTGCAGCGAGCTGAAGAGGATCTGGCTCTGGTGGCCATCATGTTCTCTGGAGGTGAGTTATGGTCTTTCCTTGAATATTAATCTTCCACTGCATCTCCACCAGGAGGAAGCAGAGTAGGCCATTCTGCTTCTCCTTTCTCTGCCTGCAGCTGGATGACCACAGCAACAAAACAAAGTGCCTACTAGAGGTGTTTCCATGACAACAGTGGGGTAGTGCTGGATACTGAATTTCCTCCCTTGAATTGAATAGGAAGATGTGCCAGTGTTTTGAAATGTATTAAAAGCTTTTTGTGTTTTTTAACATTAGATAAGCCTTCCATTTTCATATTTAAATTAACTTCAGAAATTGTTAAAGGATTTAATTACTGTACAGAGAGGGGGTAGTCTTGAACTAGTCATCTTGCTGGCTGAGCATTGAATATTTCGACTCTGTTAAACAAGAGGAAACTGTAAGGCAAGCCACAGCTCACAGGCATTGCTCTCTCAGGTGCACATGGTAAGCTGGGCTTTGTCCCAGCTTCGCCTGTTGGGCCTTGTTTGTCCTACAAGGAAGCTTTATTGTCTGTCTTGAATAGATCATGCAGATTACACGCTGACATTAGTGATGTGTGCAGCCTGGACAAACCCCTTGTTTTCACTGGAGCCTGCCAGATTACAATGTCACTGGCCTCCTTCTGGGCTTACACTCTTTATCAACTATCTCATTAACTAGCCATGAGGAAAATTTGGAGAAGATGACTGAGCATGGTCAGTTGCAAGCAGAAGCACTACATTAACTAATCAACCAGTTGGTGTTGGGGGATGGGAGCAGAGACAAGGCATTCCTGTTTACCCCCAGTGACTGTTCTGCAAGGAGAAATGGACTCGAAATATATAGAAGGATAAAGCATTATGTAACAAATCATTATTCCTGCTACCTTCTTGCTCACAGGCTGGTCAAATAGTCTGACAAGTCAATCCATTACACATACAAAAAATAAAAATTAAAGAACCACAAAGCCAAAGCCATTCCCTGTAAGCCTAATAAAGCCCTTCCTTTCCTAGAACTCTCATTGTACAGCTTAACAAAACACCATCCAGGGCTGAGGGTTTAGCCCATTGGTAGAACACAGGTCTTGTATGTACTAGATTGTGGGTTGAGCCCCAGAAACACCTCTAACTCCTAATTATCAATGAGAAATAAAAGCAAAAATTTGCAAAGCATGTTAACCCAGTGAACTTCAATAAGGAAATGATTTGGGGGTGGGAGTTGTTTGCTAAAAACTAGAGATGGGAGCTAGAGAAAATGGCTCAGTAGTTATAAGCGTGTGCTGCTCTTGCAGAGGACCCAAGTTCAGTTCCTAGCTTAAAGCCATCTAAAAACACCAGATCTAGGGACTCTTGACACCCTCTTCTGGTATCCGTGGGTATTGCATGCACATGGTACACTAATGTGCATGCAGATAAACATTCATATACATGAAATAAATAAAAATAAATAAAATCTTAAAATGCAAATAAAGTTGTAGAGAGTTTTTAAGAAATGAAAATCACTCCCAACAATGTGTTTGCTAGTGAGCTAGAGGAATGCATGTTCTCATTAGTTCTGATTAATGATATACTTCAGGGAGATGTGTTAAATGTGTCATGTATTCCAAAAGAACAAAACATTAAGTGATTATAAGCAATATTAAGCTTCATCAAAACTTAATTTGCCTCTCAAGATAGTACCACCGTAGAGAACAACCCCTGGGCCTCCATTCAGACCAAGGGTGTGAGAAAAGTCAGGCATTCAAGGGAACTCCACAGCACAGTGAAGGCCCATGGCCCTTGGGAGCAGACTCACGCCAGCCTAGAACCACGTGAGAATCGGGAAGCTAAAGAGGTGTCTTTTTTACCACCACGTGTCTACAGGTGACTGGGGATGCCGTTCCCATACTGCTAGTGTCACCAGTGTGGGCAGTGACACTCTGTCGTGTGTGAGTCCTTTGCCTATTATCAGCAGAGATGACAGGGTATCCTGAACTGTCCACAGATGTTCCGTTCATTGAGTAGTTTTTATCGATTGGCTGGTTATGGGGGGTCGGTTTTCTAGACTGATTGGTGGTGTGATGGTCTATAAATTGCTTCCTTGCCTGCGTCTTATTGTCCTTCAAACAATAAATTGGGGTGGGGGCAGGGCTTAATTGTTGATTAACTAGTCATTGCTGCAGTGAAGCTTGTCTCACAAATAATGTCTTCCCTCTTCTGCAGAGAGAGCTGGCACCATGAACTGGGTTTTGTTTCATTTTGTTTTTGAGAACAGTTTAAGGAATTTGTTGATGGTTTCATGGCTTTCTTTTTTTTTCTAAAAGAGGCACCAATTGTTCACAAAGCTTCAACAGATTTCTAGATATTTTGTGTCCAAGGTGGTGTCATAGCAGCCAACCCATTTTTATTAGAGGCTAAAGTTTAGTTTTAATCTTTGATATTTTGGTGGCCCCAGCTATTTGGAGCCATTTACTACCTGTGTTTACAGCCCAGCACTAATATAAAGCTAACACATTGGGAATAAGCTAGATGATCATTTATGTGCTCTGCAGTAACCAGAAATATTCAAAACAAAATTTGGCATTTAAGTAGATTAAGTTGCCTACCAAGTGTTTCTGTCACTCACACCAGTAACAAAAGTGCTGCCCTAGGGTAAGTGAATTGCGTGGCCGCAGAACAAATTTTACTGTTACTTTATCCTTGTGTGCACATTTGGTGTGGAGGAGGACATTCATCTGTGAAAAGAGGGCTCAGTCTGCAGGAGAGGGAACGCTAGACTCAAACATTTTGCAATAAGGAAGTTAAGCAGCCAACTCTCAAGAGCATCCAAGCAAACGGAGAATCAGCCTTTTAACTTGCACGTAAAGCAGACCATTAATAAATTATAATGGGTGTTGTTCAGTGTACAAGTTTTATATCTAATTGTAGGGAGATATGTTGATATATTTCTAAAAAGAGAATTGGTAAGTAGTTTGGCAGTTGATGTCAAAGGCTTTGCAAACACTCCCTTTGCCAGTAATTTCCCGCTGGGAAGTCTCTTTAGAAACTTGTAAGTAGAAGGGATTTATGTGCAAGGATTATGTTATAGCTGCTGTAATAACAGACCATTTGTCAAGACGCTCTGATGTCAGCCCCTGTGTTAGTACTTAACATGTATTAATTTATATGACCAGAAAAGGGAATCCATTAAATGTTCAGCAGTGGAGGGGTGACTAGATGGTGGTGTAACAGGCTGCAGTATACCAGTGGAACATGACGTAGAAACAGCAAGTGGGTGTGTGTTTCTAATGAAGTCACGCTGTACAGACACACGTGCGTGTGTGAACGAGTGTGCGTGCGAGAACGAGTGTGTGCATGACGAGTGTGTGTGCGTGAGCAGGTGTGCGTGCGTGAACGAGTGTGTGTGCGTGAACGAGTGTGCGTGAATGAACGAGTGCGCGTGCGAACGAGTGTGTGTGCATGAACGAGTGTGCGTGAATGAACGAGTGTGCATGCGTGAACGAGTGTGCGTGCGTGAATGAGTGTGCTGCGTGAACGAGTGTGCGTGAATGAATAAGTGTGCGTGCATGAACGAGTGTGTGTGCGTGAACGAGTGTGTGTGCATGAACGAGTGTGCGTGAATGAACGAGTGTGCGTGCGTGAACGAGTGTGCGTGTGTGAACGAGTGTGCGTGAACGAGTGTGCGTGCATGAACGAGTGTATGCGTGAACAAGTGCGTGAATGAACAAGTGTGCGCGTATGAACGAGTGTGCGTGCACTATAAGAACTGCTGATATAGGGACTCACGTGGTTATTTTGGAGAGGGGATTATAACTGAATTTCGCTGTCTATCTTAAACTGTCCAGTTTAGCTCTGAGGTCTAGGTGATGTTCCTGCCACCACAGGCATTATGTTAAAATGTGCAAAAAATGAACTCACTCAAAGTCTGCTTACATTATTTTAAATATTTTTCTTGTGCAAATTTTACAGGCTCCCTTGTGTTTCTAATTACTCTTTTTTTTTTCTTTTTTTAATAAAGAAAAGCATGAATTTCAGCCAAATGACTTGGCTGTTTCCAAATCCCTGGAGGCCTCGGGTCGGATATTTGTCTACCGGAAAGATCTTGCTGACACTTTGGTGAGGACTTCTGTGCTGGCACTTAAACACAGTGTCAGACTCAACAATACTTTCAGGCTTTATTATGAGAAACATATATTAAACTATTTCCTCTTGCAGCCACGAGTACATGCCAAGTGACGTGTTCTGTAAATCAGAGGCCTTCCCTAAGATCAGTCTTTTGCTCTGTTATAAAGAATTAAAACAGTGACTCCCTGTGCCACAGAATCCTGATTTAGTCTCTTCTTTCTCTGGGGGAGTTATATGGGCACAGGGCTGCGCAATAATCCCAGATAGATTGGGAAGAGAAAAGCGTATACTCTTGAATGTTCTCCTTAAAGACAGGGTGGATTTTAGGCTTCCCTCAGTGAGATGAGTTGGTAACAATACCAGATGCCCTGAAGAGTAAGATATTGAAAAAATGGAAATAAACCCACCCTTCAGGTTATTCTCTGTATAAATTTCAAGAACATGTATGACTAAAGGACCATCATTGGTATTCCCAGGACTTCTTAGTAGACAATGGGTCTGATTTTATTCTTGCCCGTGAAAGAGGACAGTCTGAAATGCAGCTAATGTGGGTTCTTCATAAGCCCACACTTTACCTGTCTACTGGACCCTCCTTCTCAGCCACATAGCCACCTGGGATACCCCCCCCCCCCCGGACGTTCTTCTACAAGGCCTCGCAGAGAGCCTAAGGTGATCGTGGGTGATGTCCCAGTGGAATAAACGGGTACCGTGAGCGATGTTCTCAAAGGACCTAGACCCCATCCTGCCATCCAGGGCTATCTCCGCCAGCTTTGGACGCCATGGCGCATGCCTTTGTGGGAAGCAGATTTAGGGATTTTATCTTCAGAGGATTCTACTTAGAATAGATGATGGTTGGGGAGGACTACCACATGAGTCTGCTCACTGTACCCCTTAGCGCTTTCACACAGATAAACAAGTCTTCCTCAGAATCACACTGTAGAGCCTGGAGGATTGAAATAGAGAAATATAAAATGTCGCCTGGCAAGGGCAGTGGGCAGTCCTGAGAGAGCCTGGAGGAACGGAATCGAGAAATATAAAATGTCAGCTGGCTGGGGCAGCTTTGAATAACCAGAAGGAAGCTAAACTGTGCTTAGGGGCAAATTTGAGGGGAAACAGAAGGGACAAAAGGCCGAGTTAACCTGTGATCAGACACTAGCCCATGCTGCAGTTTTCCCTTGGAGTTCATTTCAAGTGTTTTGCCCATCCTAGCAGACGATCCCTTGAGACCTCAGCACCAGAGAATCTGTGCGTTCACAGACTCAGTGTCTTCTGACACAACACTGCATCCTACACCCTCTGTGGAGTGGAGAGGCAACTTGTGCTTTGATGGCTAGCGAGGCAGTCGACCCTGTGGGCAGTCGACCCTGCGGGCAGTCGACCCTGCGGGCAGTCTGTGAAGGTCCTCTGTAGTTAGCGTTTGTTTTAACAGGAAACATTTTCATGAGCATTAAAGTTCTAAATAGCGTGTTATCCATGTCATTTGAACTTCTTTTATATATATTCCTACTGAGAACTAACCCTACGCACATCCTAGACGGCTGGCAAGCCCCAGTGCGCTGTCAGTGAGGGTCACCACAGCCAATTCCCAGTCCTTTTCTTTTTAAATCATTAGCTCTAACCCCACAAGTGAGAAAATACGTAAATTAGAAAATATCAGTTATTTTAGGGAAAATACCAAATTGTTTATTTAATAACTTCAAAAGTGATGATAGATTTAAGGCTACGTTGGGAATTTAATAGACTCATGCCAGATTGTGAACGGCGCAGTGTTATCAACCTCAGAGTGATTAGCCCTCATCTCCATCAGGGGCATTTGTTACAGAGAATGTATTGACTAGCCACATGGGCTCTAAATAAAATAGCTTCTATTTTTATTCCATGTTAGATTTTTCACTTTCCAAGGGCAGTGTAATAAAATTTGTGAGCATGTGTCAGAGATGAGGCTAGCAAAGCGTGCTTCCTGTAAAAGCCATGTCTGCCTTTATTGAAGTGCTCATGACATTTCTTTTGTTTGTTTTTATACTAACCCTGCTGGCACATTAATTCTTACCAGAAGCCAAAGTGATTCCAGGGCTTTCGCTTTCATTATGCTGTCTGTCAGGGCTGTGTTTTACAATCAGATCTGTGGGTGTGTGGATGTGTGTGAGCTTGTGGGAGTGGGAGAGGGGGGAGGGGCAGGCTAACTGGGCAATGTATCCTTGATCACGTCCTGCTGTTCAAGGGCTGTTTCCTACATTGGCTGTAACTCACTGAAGGTGATGAGAGGAGGGAAAATATTAAGTGCTTTTCTAATCTGGGTTTCTAGAATCTTCCCATGTGCAGCCAATTCACTGTGAAACATTTGGGAATTACTGAAGATTTTTTTTTTGCTTCTGTCTGTCGGTGTAGAATCCTTTTGCAGAAAATGAGGAATCGCAGCAAAGATCAATGAGGATTTTGGGAATGAACACTTGGGACCTTGCTCTCGAACTGATGAGTTTTGATTGGAGTCTGTTTAACTCAATCCATGAGGTAAGCAGGGATAAAAGAATTGATAATGTTGTTTTAACTTTTAACTGAATGGTTTGTTGTTGTTGCTTGTCTTGAGACATTTGTGTAGTGACATAGTTATGCTAGGGTGTGGTCTAAAAGCTGTCTGGAGGAGTTAAAATATATTGAAAATCTAATATATCCTTGGAAAGTCAGAATATGTACCATGCTTTCTTTGCTTCTTGTTCAATCATGTGCTTGGTGTGAGTAAGTGTGGACATGCTGGATTTATATGCACAGACACCTGTAGGCAGGTATAAGATCTGTAGGGATGTGGTTGCATAGATTTATGTCAATATATGATGATATAATGAGATTAAAAAGTAATTTTACTTATGGTGTTAGGATTTCCATATATAAAAATAAATATATATTTATATTTGTATGCATGCATTTATACACACACATCCATCCTTTTACTTAAGAATACCTTATAAATTTGCCAGATGGTGATGGTGCACATCTTTAAACCCAGCACTCGGGAGGCAAGGCAATCGGATCTCTGTGAGTTCGATGCCAGCGTGGTCTACAGAGCTAGTTTAGGTCAACATGGCTTCCCAAGAAACCCTATCTTGAAAACAAAACAAAAAAAATTATATTTCATAAGTTTTATAATGTGCTGTGAAATTTCAAATACCATCTTATAAATTACATTTTTGTGTGTATGGACATCTCCTTTGGAGACAGATTATAATGTTTATAAATTATATGCCAGGAGCTAAGTGCTACTGGCAGTTTGGTGGTAGCAAGTCTCACAGAAGCCAGGAGATAGAAACGCTGCAGGTACCCGTGTGCCATGTTCATCTCGCATGTAGAGCAGCACTTCCTTCTGGGGCACCTTTCCTTCTGCAGGGAACCTCACGGCTGCTTCCTTTCAGTGTGCAGCATCTGTTACATCATTCATAGTTTCTCATTAAACACTTCAGCATTATAAACCGGTTTGAACTCACTCAGACTGGATGACTTGCATCTTTAGGAGTGTCAGTCAGGTGGGATCTGCCTCTGCTTGTGCAGTGGTGAACTTGATGACTCCTGAAGACAACACATGCACCCAGTTAAAAATGAGCCTCTCCATTGCTTTGTCTGGTTACAGCAAATAGTTACTGGTCTTGGCTTGTTTTTGTGAACTTCTGCAACCCACTCTTAATTTCCACTTTATTTCTGTCTATGATCTTAAAATGTGTTTAAAACACTGATTCTCAGAGAGTACCAGAATCAACAACAGCACCTGAGGACCTGTTAGAATTATAGATTTTCAAAGCCCACACACAGGCATGGTGGTGCCCACCTATGGTCCTCTTTCCTCTAAAGCCTAAGGCCAGAGGATCAGGAAGCCATGGGTCCAAGACAACCGGGCAATGCGGTGAGACCTAGTATCAAAGGATATTTCCGCCCCTCGTAGACGTCTAGTCAGATATGTGGGAAGAGGTCCAGTAAGTAACCTGAACCTTACCAGTCAGTGCTCAGGGTGGCTCACAGGACAACCTTAATAATCGTTCCCCATTGGACCGATGTGCGGGAGCAAATACTAGTGCCATTAGTTGCCTTATTTAGTAAGTAGAAAGGAGGGAGGGAGGAAGGAAGGAAGGAAAGAAGAAGGGTTTTTGTGTGAGGGTTCTAGGAAGTATTGGTGCACGAAGCACACTGGAAACTGAAGGTGAGCTAGCTTGAATAGACTGTGTAGTTGTCTGCTATATTTTCTGTCAACACATGAAGGATATGGAAGTGACCTCTTGAAATGGCTCATAAAGTGATTGAATTTTGCATCAGTTTGACTTGGGCTAAAAGTTAACATGTTTCTTTCAGCAAGAGCTGATCTACTTCACGTTCAGCAGACAGGGAAGTGGGGAGCACACGGTGAACCTCAGCCTTCTGCTCCAGAGGTGTAATGAGGTGCAGCTGTGGGTGGCCACGGAGATCCTGCTCTGCAGCCAGCTGGGCAAGCGCGTGCAGCTGCTGAAGAAATTCATCAAGATTGCCGCTCAGTAGGTTTCCTTGAGAAAGTGTGGTGACGCTTCCGGGTTTTGTTTTCTTTTACTTTTTGTAATGATAAGAAGGGTTGGGATATTGCAATGTAATACTGAGTTAAGTGATTGAAAAGGTCTGTTTTTGAATATTTTTGTCTTTTCATTGGAAGTTTTCATGTCTTAAAGTAAGTGTCAAAATAGCAGACTCGAGCACTGAGCTGTCTGCTTAGAAGTTATAGCCAGGTAGTAAGTTCTTGTACAATATAGCTAGTGGCACTGCCAGTGGGCTAGGAAAATGAAAGATGATGTGTGTGGTGGGGGTGTTGTCATGGAAATTCAGAGACATTATAGGATCTCTGTGAGTGCACAGTGAGACCATATCTCAAAAAATATATAAAAACAAATCAAATAAGACACTTATCAATTCAAAAAAGGGTATCTGGCACCAATCTCTGGCCTCCACACAACAGAGGATAAATACAAACAAACACACACACACACACACACACACACACACACACACACACACACCAAACATGCACTTATATAGATCATAAATAAACTTAGAGTATTTTTTGCACATATGTTATTTTGGGAAACATTGAGGGTAGAGTAGTTGCTGTTTGTCTCTCTGTTGTTTGAGACATTTAGAATGTGGGTGCAGACTCTGAGATCCTCCACTGGGCAAAGAAATCCATCCCGTTATGTAGACATGAGGAGTATCCTTACATAAGGAGGAGATTTTTTCTGATTTGGCCTACACAGCCAGAGCTGGTCAGGCCTATGCAGCCAGAGATAGAGGCAACAGACTCCGGAAGGCCTTCTTCTCTGTGTGTCCCTGTACTGTAAGTACTGTATTGTACTCTGGTGGGATGGTGCTCCACCCAGGGGAGCTGCTTGAGCCCAGAGGTTTCCTGCCATACAAGAATATTGTAAGTTTAATCCATATTACTCAATAATTCAATCTTTTATAAGTAATTTTTAAAAATATAGCCTTATTTTGAATATTATTTTTCATTAGACAAACTCTAAGTAACTTCCAACTTGTTTTGATTTACTTGTTTCAGGCTTAACTTTGATAACATACACATAAGGCTCTTTAATGAGAGATAGAAATTGGTCTCTCCATCCAAGCTTGTCTCTGTAAATAAATTATGTTTGTATTGAGCATGACTGACCATTAATTTGTGTATCTTAATTATCTGTAACAGTTTACAGTGTTACTAACTCTTTTTTTATAAGATTAGGATTTTATATGAGCCTTAAAAAATATAATTCTGAATTAAAGATCCTTTAGTATCAAAATAAACTTTAAACCATAAATACAGTCCACAGAGAAAATGAGAACTTTATTTCCATGATCCTTTTATAATGTACTTTTACAAAATACTAGTTTTGTTTTATATGACTCGGTTTCAAAACAAACCATCTTGGAAGCCTGGCGGTGCCTCATTGGCCTAATAAAAGGGAGTCTCGTAGAGTGATCACTAAAGGGGTCCATGGGCCTCATTTTATGGGTATGGCCTTAGTTGATTTATACAACTTGGTCACCGTAGGCATGATGGCAGTGAAGTCACATGATATGCTCTTCCTTGACTCTTAGTGAAGATGGTGGCAGCCAAGGTGAAGCGCACACTTTTTCCCAAATAAGGGTCGGGTCCACGTTATATCGTGGTTTGCTCCAGCAAGTTAATTTTATCTCTACATAGACTTTTTAAATCACACTCAATGAATTTATAAATTCTGAAGTACAGAAAGTTAAAGTTTCAACAAAAGCTTTAAATAAAACCAGAAAAAAATGGGGACTAATTCAGACAATTAAACCATTTCCCGTTTGTAACCCTAACAGAAAAGTTCACTTCTTTGTTCTTTTTTTTTTTTTTTTCTTTCACTTCTTTGTTCTGCTCCAGCAAAGTTCCTTTCCTAGCTCTTCTGTTTAGTTCTCCTCTCTGGTTATTTTTCGGCTCTGTTTTTGTTTTTGTTTTTGTTTTTTGAGACAGGATTTCTCTGTGTAGCTCTGGTTCTCCTGGAACTCGTTCTATAGACAAGGCTGACCTCAGATGCAGAGATCCACCTGCCTCTGCCTCCTCAGTACTGGGATTAAAGGCTTGCACCACCACTGCCTGGCTTGTTCTCCTTCTCCCTGTCAGAGTCAGGTGCCCAGCCTGACACAGAACAGAGACTTTCGAGGAAACTTTTAAGCAAACATGGACCAAAATCCAGCTCCAGAACCATCTTCTCAGTCCAGTAGAACAGCACAGACACCTTTCCATTTACAGACGATTAAATCTCTGTAAGTCTGAACCCTGTGGTCTACACGTCCATAACCAGTGTGTGTGCATCTGCAGGTGGAGCATACAACCTGAAATGCTTTACCTCCTAGCTGCTGAAGATAAAAGCAGGATTTTCTAGGTTTTGGGAGGCATAAATACAAGTAAGACAAAAGAATAAGGCAAAAAGTTCTATGGTATCTCAGGAGCAGATACAAGATATCTGAATATAGAGACATTCAGCCTGGCAGGAATAGCAGCCAGCAGACATCCTGGCTCTGAGCATGGCTGTAAGTCAGCTGTGAGTTTCATGGGAAAGGCGGCTTCGGACCATGCTGTCGTTCCTGTCCTCTTATGAAGTTACATAAATCAGTTTAAGTATTGGAAATAAGAGGTTCCAAATCTGGGCCAGCTGTAGCTGTTTGCTCAGTGTGCATGGAGGCCAGATTGCATTAAAAGGCGAAGCAGAGTCACCAGTTTTCCTGACTAGTGACTCTTCTTACGTTAGCCTGCACACAGGTCAAAGAAGAGTCTTTTCAGTACAGAAAATTTGGAAACCATAGCTTGGCCCAGGACCAGGTACAGGCAGGGGTCAATGTCCAGTTGAGTAGAGCATCCCATCCCCTACATCTGGAAATGACCACATGCCCCTAGATCATGAGGGTGTCCCCAACCTATACAATTCCATGGTGAAGGAGCCACAAGGCCAGTGGTCTCCTAGCCCGTGGAAAACTCCCGCTCCCTTCAACAGAGTAGGCCTTAGGAAAGTTTCAGTACGTTGAGCTCCAACGGTCTCCAAAACCTAACTAGGGTACCTCAGAGTTAGATCCATGGTTACCTAATTCCAGTGTTTTTCTGTGTTGTGTGTGTGTTCTGTTCCGATGCAGCATGGCCTCTCACCTACGTCAGACTGTATCGGGGTAGACGGTAAGGTGAGAGAGGAAGGATGGAGACAGAGAATGAAAAGATAGGGCTTCCTGAGAGAAACCTGTGGCCCTGCTGGGGCTTGAGCAGCTGGTAGGCTGCTCTGTTTCATCCTGGGTCTTCAGTAACATGGTTAGATTACTTTTAAAAGGCAGTGAAGGAGAAGGCAGGAAGCAAGCAAGCAGGCTCCGTTTGACCTTAGGCAGGACCACGTTTATTCATGGTGAGGGAACATCTTGTCACCCATGTGTGTGGCTGGCAAAATGCCTACAGGGAAAGATGGGCCATGGTCGCTTACATGGATGAAAATGGGAAGGAGTGGCTTCTGTAATCCTCCAGGAAACTGTCATTAACACTGAGTTTTTAGGGAATCAGGTCAAGGAAAATAGCCTCTGCAGTTCAGTTTAGATGAAGCTGCGTGGGTTTAACTACATGGTGCCTGATACGGCTAAACCTACCACTCTGGTACTGTGCAGGGCTGAATGTGCATCAGCCTGGCTTATCAGGAACCCTGATTGCTTTTCGGGCTGGGGGGGGGGGGGACTTAATTGGGGGAGGGGGGGGAAATGGGAGGCGGTGGCAGGGAAGAGACAGAAATCTTTAATAAATAAATAAATTTAAAAAAAAAAAAGAAAGTGCAGAGTGGTCGCTTGTCGTGAGTGTGGATCTGGATAAGGCCTTGTGGGGAAGTCAGGCTTCCTGCTACAAGGTCCTATCGCTCAGCATGCTGCTCTGTAGAACAGAGCAAAGGGCTGGCTTTGGAGAAGGAAGCGCTGCATCTCAGGAGTGTGGGGATGGAGATAGAAAACACTGGTGCAAGGAGCCTTTGCTGCTCTCTTTGCTTTCCGGGTGAGAAGAACACTCTTTCCATGTTTCCATGGAGGGTACCCTGAAGATGAGCTCAGCAGAGCAGCAGCCTTTGTGAGCTGATGAGCCCCATGTTCAGTTGAAAGGAAGTTGTAGGAGACTGCTGGCTGGCATAGGCAGAGTCTGTGGCCAAGCGACTGATAGACTCAGAACTTGCTTTAGGAACGCTCTCCTGGAAGTGGAAAGGAACCTGGCCAAGGGACCCAGAAGCAAGAGACCGAGGCAGCACCTGTCTGAGGTCTGCCATGATTGGATGGAGGAGCAGGTAAACGTCTGTACCCTAGGCTGACACTTTTGTACTGAGTGGGGCTTTATTTGTGGTTTTGTTGTTATTTGCTTGTCTGTTAACTCAGCCACTGTATTCTAAAATGGCTCTGAGATTCCTGAAGGTGCAGTTTATGGTTAACAGTTTCTTAGAACACAGTTAGATGGAGAAATAGGACACGGGGGCTCCAAGGAGTAAGGTGGCACCACCCAGTCCTTCCTCAGGACAGGACGGGATTTAGCCTGGGGAAGTGAAATATATTCCTGTCTTCTCCTATGGCGCAGTCTCCTGAATTATTTATGGTAATGGTCTCTCTCCCAGCCCATGGAACAGAATGGCAACTGAAACATGAAGTTAAATTCCCCATAATCACACTGTAGGAAGAACCCAGGGAAAACAGCAATTTCCACAGTCATGAAGTGTTTTCCCTGCCCAAGGCATGCGATTTGCATATTCATGTTTCCCTCCTCACTGTCCCCATCCCCCACCTCTGTGGATTGAATGCCTTTTCTCTCCTCACTCAGCAAAGGAATGGTTGCGGGACTGGGATGCTCAGTGTCAGGCAGCCTGCTCTCATCTCGGAATGAATGGCCTTGTAACAGGATTCCAGGCCTGATGGGCATCTAATTTCTGTTCAGAATCAATTTGTCTTATGCGGAAATTGTGTCTATATTAATTTAATTTCTTTTTTCAAGACAAATTCAGATGGTATGTGTAGGTGTGTCAGTGTGAATTTTATGACTAAAATGAAGCTATGTGGACCTGAAGAAATGGTGTGAACAGGTGAAAGATGGAAACCGTATAAAAACATGGAGATAAATGGTGCTCAGTGGAAAGGCTTCATCATGAAAAATAAACATTTACCTAAAAGTTCCTTTTTTCAGCCCCAGGACTTGCTCTGTGCACGGTTTGCTGTGCATCAAGCAGTTGGATATACACAGCAAAACAAATGAGTAGATATGTAGTCCAGCCTTAATGAACTTCCTCTCTGATGGTGGCAATGGCCTATAGGGCCTCCCTTGTGTGGGAGAACTCAGGGGTGGGTCGTATCTCTGGCAGTAGATTGGAGCATTCTCACTGACAAGAGTTCCAGTAGAGGGGAGATGGGGCTACCTCAAGCTTTCCTGTCTGCTAAGAACTCTTATCTTGTAGAATGAGGGAAGTGAGTGGATTCAGTGCTAAGCCTTAGGCAGCAGAAAATGTCAAGGTAATCATAGACAGGAGGCCACTTCCTACAAGGCCATCGGGGGTGTGGACGTTGACAGGAGACCAGAGGAAGAATCAGCAAGTCTGGGCTCCAAGGGCCTCATTCCTAGGTATAGAAACTGAAGGCTGCATCAGAACTGGGCAGACTTGGGGACTTGGTAGTAATGTGCCTGCTGGGCATATGTTCACGGTATCGTCTGCTCTGGGTGTGGAGACAAAGTGTCTTTCCAGCTCCTCTCTTCCCGGCGTGGAGTCCAAGTACAGTTAGACTGGAGCAGTGTGTGGTTCGTGAGGCAGATAGTACCTGCTAGAACACAGCGCATTCTTACTCACCCTAGTGCCGCTAAGAGGCACAGCTCTGGAAGACAGCACATATCAGAACCTTGACATTGTGAAGCTGAAGCCAGTACAGCCTGGGCTGCATAATGAGGCTCCATCTCAAAACAAACAAAACTAAACAAACAGAAATCAAAAACACTTTTCACATGTATAGCTTTTGTACCATCATGTAATAGCTGGAAGCCCAATGAAAAAAATCACAAGTAAGTGAAAAGTTTCATAACAAAGATTCCCAATGCAGCATTCTGTGTAACCGGGAAGAATTGAAACTAGCAAAGGCTACGCTAGGAAAACTAAGTAAGAAAACTATGAAACATGTTCTCCTTTTAAGAGACAAGATCTTCCTGTATTCCTAGGCTGGCCTTCAGTTCTCATTGTAGTAGAAGGTAACCTTCCTGGACTTCTGAATCAACTGTCTTCACTCCCAGTGCAGGGATTACAAAAGTGTCCATCTTATTTTCTTATGTTTATAAATAAGAAATTAGAGCGCTGTCCCATAATATATGTATATACTCAGATAAACAGGAGATAGATAGATAGATAGATAGATAGATAGATAGATAGATAGATGAATGGATAGACAGAGAGAGAGAGATGGGTGGGTGGATGGGTGAATAGGTGGGTGGGTGGGTGGGTGTGTGGATGGATGGATGGACAGACAGACACAGCCAGAGAGATAGATAGATAGATAGATAGATAGATAGATAGATGAACAGACAGACACAGAGATAGATGATAGATAGATAGATAGATAGATAGATAGATAGATAGATAGATAGATGATAGTGTTCTGTCTGAATGAATGTGAGAACTTAGGCCTGTGAGGTGAAAGGGACACACCAGCCAGAGGAACAGAAATCACAGGGACTACAGAAATCACAGGGACTAAGAGCTGAGGAGAGCTGCAGGAGCCGTCCATGGCGGATGAAGAGAAGTGGCCATTTCAAAGCACAGTCGTTGAACTCATAAATGTGCACAATGAATGTTAGAGGAGGAAGGGTCTCCTGCAGTTCAGGAAGGGTTAGAGGAGGAGGTCTCCTGCAGTTCAGGAAGGGTTAGAGGAGGAGGTCTCCTGCAGTTCAGGAAGGGTTAGAGGAGGAGGTCTCCTGCAGTTCAGGAGGGGTTAGAGGAGGGAGGGTCTCCTGCAGTTCAGGAAGGGTTAGAGGAGGGAGGGTCTCCTGCAGTTCAGGAAGGGTTAGAGGAGGAGGTCTCCTGCAGTTCAGGAAGGGTTAGAGGAGGAGGTCTCCTGCAGTTCAGGAAGGGTTAGAGGAGGGAGGGTCTCCTGCAGTTCAGGAAGGGTTTTCTTGAGGGTAGAGAGGAGCCCAAGAGCCATAAATCCTTCCTTTTGCATTAGAAATGGTTGAGCCATACCTCTCCATGGACAGTGACGGTTGTATAGGCTGAAGTCGTGTCCCAGAAGTCTTGAGGCTTCATCAGTGATAAAGCAAACTGCTTGAAAGAATGCCTGCTCAGTCTCCATTCTCCTTTCTTCGCAGCTGCAAAGCCCAGCAGAACCTGAACTCCTTCTTCGCTATTGTGATGGGTCTCAACACGGCCTCTGTGAGCCGGCTGTCACAGACCTGGGAGGTGAGCCTGGGGCTTTCCACTGGGAGTCGGGGTGTGGATGTGGGGCAGAATGAAAGACTCCAGGGGGTACTAGAAATAAGACTGAAGTAGTTTAAATGAGACAAATTCTGCTTGACTAAAAGTATTTTTAGTAGGACTGTGACAGGGTGATAGGAACCATTTCTATCAAATGGTCTTCTAAATAAATCATCTTTAACATAATTTTTAAAGTATCTGAAGAAGAATTTTTGAAAAGTTAAATGTCTTAAATTTCTCTTCACCCTCCTCTGCATTTCCTGAAGGCAACTCTAGCTCCATGCTGGCTAGACATTCTCCAGTCTGCTCTGTGGAGCGAGGTGTGCACAGAGATGAATAGGGTACTGGCCTGAGTGAGGGGGTTCACGCAGAGATGAAGTTGAGCTTCAATGCATTTGCAGACCTTGGCCATGTTCACATTGCCATGTATAGCTTTTCAAAATTGCCAAAGTAATTTCTTAAGGAGGACATTCTATGTCTATAGAAAGCTTAAGGCCTCCCAAGTTCTAGTTCTGCTTCTGTAGATGATGAAATCTGCTTGCACTATGAGATGCAGGAGACCAGTGTAGTTGACCTATTGCTCCAGAGGGTGTGTGGGAAGAACCAAATTAGGAGAGCCGGAACTTAGCCAGAAGTATCAGACTGCCTCTGCGGCAGCCCCACCCTGCTTTCTTGCTTTCTGTGGGCTTTTGTCCTCTTGCTCTCCCTCTCTGCTGACTGTCTCCTGCACCCTGCACTGTCTCTCTCCTCATCTCTCTCCAATTTTCACCTCACCATCCTTTGGGCTGTAACCTGTGTGCTCCACTGTGGTCTCCTTGGCCTCTCCTGGTTCTGTCAGTGGCTGTGTCATTCTCTCTATGGATTCAATCCTTTCGAGTCAGGAGCTGTGCCCAATGGAATACATTGTGCTGACCCAGGGGTGGGATAGTGCTCTCCTTCAAGACGGGAAAGGCTTGCCCTCTGTGCTTCAACAAGATGGCCAAGAACACTAAAGATTGAAGGAGATGGGAGACAACTGCCATGCAGGAAGACAGATGAATAGCAAGGGTCTTCACAGAATGGAGTTTGAATTGAACCACAAAAGAAACTTTGATTTGCAGAAGTAACTGAATTACATTTAAAAAGCTGAATCAGCACATTGAACGCCTACTGAGTTGCACACACTGCGTGAAAGCGAATACCAGAGAATGCTGTGTGCTGAAGGACCTTTTAAACCAGGTCTCACTGTCCCAGGGGGAATTGAGCGGAGACTCGGGGCTTTGGAGGTTGAGGAAGAAGTTGTTGGTAGCTGAGGTTGGGCATCCCAGCAGAGGGCCTCACTGTCAAAGGAAGGTGACCGTGTCATCAGATAAAGAAGAAGTAGGTTTGAGAAATAGTCAGAGGTCGGCAGATTTCTGAGCTGGACTGGCGGGTGCTCTCCATTGTGAGACAGTCCGGCCACTACACTGCAACAGCCACAGCTAGTGAATGACGGCCATGGGAGTGTTACAAAACTGGTCTCCAGGCCAGGTTTGGCTCTGGCCTGACTTCTAGTTAACCCAGTTGGTTTTAAGTACAGTGAGTTGGTGGTACCACTGGGGTGTCCAATAGAATAAGATGTAATTCAAAGGAAAGACTGGAAATAATTACAAAAGTCTGCATTTTATATTTTCTTTATTGGAAAGCAGTCATTTCCAGGTAGGTTAAACTACATACTACAAAGAACTGAGTCAAGAGTCAAAATTATCACATTGAAAAATTAAGTAGTTTTAAAGTGTTAGTTAAAGTTTTAAAGTAAGTAAACTTACGATGATTATTTTGATTCAGTTTGAAGACGAAACCTCTGTGGAATATCTTGGCCTTCCTTGTTAATGTTAATAGCTGGAATCCATTAAGTAGCAACCATGGACATGGGCCGTTGTGCATTTATTTCATAAGTTGTTGCTGAAGGCTGAGAGCAGCGAGGGTGCAGACTCACACTAAACTAGAAAGGGGCAGGGGCAGAATTCACACAGGGCCTTGACGGGGTCAGCTTTCTGTGACCGGACACTAAGGCAGTGTGAAAAGCTCTGCGCTCTTTCCTACTCATGGGAAAGGGAGTCTGGCGCATTTCCAGGTCCGTTTTCATGAGCCTGAATTTTTACCTGGGAGGATGGCACAGGCACACATATTCCCTTCAATTCAGGTTGGATGATTCCATCCTCTAAGGTGCAAGCTGAATCCCTAAAGTTTTTTCTGTCTGTGTTACCTGGCTTCTGCTGTGCGTGCAGCCATTCACATGAAACACATCCAGCCACCACTGTCCCCACTTGGTCAGGCTGTTAGAAACACGAGCACATTCGTCAAAGATGAGATACAGAACTGAAATCTGTGTTCATTAAATAACCACATCGTGTAGAACGTCTAGCCATCTAGATGCCTTCATCATGCAGCTGCCAAGATATTTTTATCAACATGCCTAATGAAGGTCATGTTGAGGGGATGAACAAACGTGCAAATGAGACGCAATCAGTGTGGAGTCCCAGGGCCTATATCTATGCTCAGAAATGTATTGTGAGTAAGCAGAACTCAGGGCAAATGTCCCTTAGTGCCCCTTCTCAGAATAGCTGCCTTCTATGACCTTTGTGGTTACTGACTGTGATTTTGTTGTTTTGGTTTAAGAAAATTCCTGGAAAGTTTAAGAAACTTTTCTCTGAACTTGAAAGCTTAACGGTAAGTAAAGGGGACTTTTCTTCAAAGAAATATTAGTGCTATTTCCTTCTGGGTTCAGGGTTCAAATTACTGTCCTTCATGATATCAGTGCCTAACTGACTGCTTGCATCTAAAATGACAGTTTTGAGCTGGGTATGGGGATAGAATCCTGGGACTTTGGTAGACTGAGGCAGGCAGATTACAAATTCCAGGCCAGCCTATACTATGAAATAAAACCCAGTTTAAAAACAAACGATACAGTGGACTAACATGGAAGAGCTGAAATCTCATGGAACCCCAACTCTAGATAAAGAACTGCAAGCCACTAGAAAATACTGAGAGTGGAGAAATAGTGGAGAAATACTCAGCTGGTTCAATACCAAATGATCATATGCATGCAAGAAACATGCAACTTTAATAGGTTCTATTTATGTACTTGGGAACACACACACACACACACACACACATTTTACACACACACATTGAAGGAGAAGAAGCCATGAGTTTGGGAGAGGACGGGGGCAGTTTCAAGAGAGGGGCTGGATGGAAGAAAGGGAAGAAGAGAAATGATAAAATTCCAAAGATGTTTTAATTTATAATTTGAAGACTAAATGATAGGTAGATGGTAAGTAGGTAGGTAGATGGTAGATGATAGGTAAACAAACAGATGGTAGGTGTGGCTGAGACTGAAGCATGGTGCCCGTTCAAGCTGCCTCCTCTCCCTGGAAATCCACATGATTGTTTCACAAGGCATTTTTCATTCCACAGCCTGAAAGTAGTTGGTATAAATTTGGTGAGTAATTCAGTGTGCTCTGCATTAACCTTTCCTCCTTTACTTATTGTTTCTTAGATTTATATACAAGATCTGTAGCTTGTTTTTAGAATTTGGCATTGTCTTTGTGTTCTGAGGGCAGTTTCTCTTTGTGGTGTACTTAACAAAAGACTTTGAGTTTACCTCACGCTAGAGCTCATGCAGAGGCAGCTGCACTTGAAGAACTATTTGAGGAAAATGACAGGGCAATCAAAAGGTGGCCGTCTCTTATAGTCATCTTCCGTTATTGTAAACCGATACCTTGAATTCTAAGCATTACCTAAATTGCCTGCCCTAATTAATGGATTTATCCTCTGAGTAAACCTTTATCCGCCTCATTCTTCGGAAGAAGCTTGCCATATCTAATCATGTTCAAATTGTACAGCAGCTATAGATTGAGAATTGCTTCTATAGTGCATTGATTTTTCTTTCTCTGTGATCTGCTTGGTTGGCAGGATCCTTCCCTAAATCACAAAGCCTACAGGGATGCATTCAAAAAGATGAAGCCACCAAAAATCCCTTTCATGCCCTTATTGCTTAAAGGTAATGATTTACTATCTGTTATGGTGTGCAATGTCGCCTTCTAGAATTGTCTTTTCTACCTATAGCAGAAACAATGGAACTCTCAGTTAATACTTTAATATTGAAAAGAGCTTCTATATTTGCATGAAATTGGTTTTTAAATACCCAGTTGTTTTTTCAAATGTCTACAATGTATGATTGTAGTTGAGCAGTGTCAAAGCATTGTCTCTTGAAACCTGTATATCTATACCCTGCTGTTCCTAAGCCCGGTATTGTTTTCTTTAGTACCATGGCATAGGTAAACAGGAATAAAGGTAGCATACAGAGCCCAAAGGCCTAGTTTGTTTACATCCGTGTTTCAGAGACAGCAGTGCACAGGGTGAGATCCTGTCTTTCCACAGAAGCTGCGCATCTCATGAACACTCCTTGTCGCCGAGAAGTGGGTCCTAGCTGGGAAGTTACCGAACAGCTCCATACACCACTGAGTCCTCTCCTGTAGAGGACACACAGTTCGTGTGAACCATGTCAGTTCTGAGGGCAGTTGGGGGATGCACAGCATAATTTGTGCAGGGCTAAGAATCAAGTGGGCAGCATAAGGAGAGGTTGAAATGCCAAAGTCAGAGTTTAAAGGTTTCATTACTGTCTTCTTTATTGCTCTTACTTGCATTAAGATACATCTATGCAGGCTCATAGGTGTCATCACAAAGTGCAGAACCTTCAGCTGGAGGGGGAGTGGCAACAGGCGCGAAAGAACTCCTGGAATTATTTAGGCACAAATGGGAACAGGAGAAAATATGAGGGAAAGGAACTGATTTGAGTTAGAAAACTAGAAACGTTAAATGCTTGTAAGGCACTGTCTTCAAATCTAGTGTCCCTTTAACCTGGGAAGAGTCCTGCCCCCTCGTGCTTCCGACATCCCCTGAAGCCAAGGCACCCACTCACCTGAGCATGCATGCAGCTTTCTGCTCTGATAAGTTTGCACCATTTGATGGCAGCAAGACAAATTTCCTTCTTTTCTGTTGAAACCACATTCACTCAGTCTTAGAAGAACTCGCTTAATATTTCATGACAACTCTTCCTCTCATGTCTACCTTCTAACTCAACTGGCTTTCAATTAGAAAATGGGAAGAGGTTGAACTCAGGGCCTGTGTGCCTGTGTATGCGGGAAGGGTTAGACCTCCCATGGCTCCTGTCCCGGTGAGAACCCTTCAGCTGCTAAAGCCTTTCTTCTCCTTGTGCCAGACTGTGTCCCCTTGTCACCTCCTCCACTTTCTGTTCACCAGTCCTGTCTGTACTTTAGTTTCCTGGAGCCCACACTAGCATGTGCACACACTCACACACACTCATATACACACACTCTCACACACACTCACACACACACTCTCACACACTCTCACACACACTCTCACACACTCTCACACACTCTCACACACTCATATACACACACACTCACACACACTCTCACACACTCATATACACACACTCTCACACACACTCTCACACACTCTCACACACTCACATACACACACACTCACACACACTCACACACACTCATATACACACACACACACTCTCACACACTCATATACACACACTCTCACACACTCATATACACACACACTCACACACACTCATATACACACACTCTCACACACACTCACACACACACTCTCACACACACTCTCACACACACTCTCACACACTCATATACACACACACTCACACACACTCACACACACTCATATACACACACACTCACACACACTCTCACACACTCATATACACACACACTCACACACTCATATACACACACACTCACACACACTCTCACACACTCATATACACACACACTCACACACACTCTCACACACTCATATACACACACACTCACACACACTCATATACACACACACTCACACACACTCTCACACACTCATATACACACACACTCACACACTCATATACACACACTCACACACACTCTCACACACTCATATACACACTCTCACACACTCATATACACACACACTCTCACACACTCATACACACTCTCACACACGCATATACACACACTCTCACACACTCATACACACACTCTCACACTCTCACACACACACTCACACACTCATATACACACACTCTCACACACTCATATACACACACACTCACACACTCATATACACACACTCTCACACACTCATATACACACACTCTCACACACTCATATACACACACACACTCATATACACACACTCTCACACACTCATATACACACACACTCATATACACACTCTCACACACACTCTCACACACTCATATACACACACACACACTCATATACACACACTCTCACACACACTCTCACACATACTCATATACACTCTCACACACTCATATACACACACTCTCACACACTCATATACACACACTCTCACACACTCATACATACACTCTCACACACTCACGCACACATATACATACATTCATGCGCACACTGTCATATGTATACACTCTCGCACACACTCACACTCCTGAGTGCACTATCCCCCTGCTGCCTTCCACAAGTCCTGAGACCCTAACGGGAAGAAGGAAGCCAAGTAGGAAGACATTCAGGAAAGGATGTGGAGAACAGCAGCTGATATGGCAGAAGCTCAGCAGGTGAATTAGAGCTGGAAGTGGGAGACCTCAACCCTTTCATAGCCCGTTGCCCATGTCTGAAGGACCCTCCCTCCCACTGATTCCTAGCTCTGCCGCATGGCATGAGCATGATTTAGCTGTGGCTGTCTCCTGAGCCCTCGTTTCTCTGCATGCTTCCTACAACCACCTTAGAAAGCCTTGTGAGAAGTAAGTGGTTAGTCCATGTAAAACACCCGAAGCCGTGCCTGATAATATTGTCACTGGACATCACCATCCTTTCCAGCATGGGGTGGGGCCAGGGGGCACCAGCAGCTAAGCGGAGCCTGTGGTCTGAAGTGTGAGGCCGAGCTGCTAGGCTGTGTTTCATGGCGGCCAAGTGAGTGCAGAGTGTATTTGCTGTGTATAAGATGTAAAAGCTGACGCGGCAAACTGCTCTTTTGCAATCTTGTGTTGTAGCAGTGAAACCACAAAAGATAGCAAGATATTGTTCAGTTAAACCTGCAAAGGATAGAAAGCTCATGTTCCCACAGCAAGCTGTAATGTATGCAAGGGTCACCTTGGGGACAGGTGTGTGTGGCCTGCTGGTGGCCTTGGGAACACAAGCTCGCAGTGTTGTAGTCAAGTTTTGGCAGCACCTGTATCAACAGCTTTGACTGAACCTGTTTCTATTTTTGGTGGTTTTGGTCGGTTGTTGATGACAGCAGGGGTATTTTCATGTCCTTTAAGTTGAATAACGTGTACTGCAATCCTTGTCTGTGGGGACGCTAAGGTTCCATCATACAGTCTTCTCCATTTTTGTATGGCAAAAATTCTCAGAGCCTGAGATGCTAGCTTAATAGTCTCATTCCCAAATCTTTATCTCTCTTGTTTGTTGTTGTTGTATTGTTTTGTTTGTTAGTTTCCGAGACAGGGTTTTTCTGTGTAGCTTTGGATCCTGTCCTGGAACTCGTTCTTTAGGCCACGCTGGCTTTGAACTCACAGTGATTCGCCTGTCTCTGGCTCCTGAGTGCTAGGATTAAAAGTGTGTGCCACCACCTCCCGGCTTCATATCTTTATGTCCTGAGGAGTCACTCTTCCCAACAAAAACAGGTTTTCTTTTAACATCCTCAGCCACTTCTTTGGAGAAATGGGTAAGACCCAAGCCCTTACACTAGACACAGACCCAGCCACTGAACTGCACCCCAACTGCACCCCAGCTCCTCGCTCACTTCAGGTCTTGTAGTCTCAAACAAATTTAACTTTCTTGTCTCCAAAAGCAATCCATTCCACTACCTTTCTTGTTTTCTCTTCATCGACGATGCTGTCTCTACCAGTCAAATCACTTCTGATACATGGGCTTTGAACACCAAACTTTTTCATTTCTTTGTTTTTAATGTAAACTTGGGAATCTGAATCTAAACTGTTTTAACTAAAGCAGGTCCCATTTACACTGGCTAAGAGGAGTTTTTATACAAATATGTAAATATCAAATCCTTGTTGCTTATGAATATTCATTTATTTTCTGCTCAGTCTTTTTACCTGGAGACATAGCGGACCAATCAAACATTAGCTGACAGCCCACGTGAGAATCCGCTCTGCACTGGGAATGCAAACTGTTCTAGGGAGGCTGCGCTGCCCTAAACTTCCATTTCAGGTGTTATACAGGCTTAGTTTCAAGCCAACTTGTCGCATATGTGGCACAATTCCAAAACATTGAAGACAAAAATCATACAGTGCACTGTTTCTAAACAATTGGTTGTTTCTTGATCTCCTCCTAATAGTATATTTGATCTAGCTGTTTTTTTAACTTTCAGATGTAACGTTTATTCATGAAGGAAATAAAACATTCTTGGATAATCTCGTCAACTTTGAAAAGCTGGTATGTAAACTTCACGACTTCTCCTTTTTTCTCTCTGTAAGGGAAATGCATGCTTGCCTTTCCTGAGCACCCCCGGGTCTCTGCTGCATATGTGACAGTGTCACCACTAGGCTGGCAAGACTGGGAATATGCCTTTTATTCTTGGAACTAGTGTGTCATTAGCTTAGCATCAGTGGTAAACCTATGGAACCAGGCACAAAGGCATGAGAGGCTGCTGTCTGTCAGGAGCAGTCCCCACATGAGAAGGTGCTGTCTGTCAGGAGCAGTCCCCACATGAGAGGCTGCTGTCAGGAGCAGGTCCCATGTGAGAGGGCAATTGCTGCACAGGCCTCTCTTGATGCCCCAGTGTAAGCCATCTTGAGACAGTGAGCAAGAAAGTCCCCAGGTAGATGTGTCTGTCTTCTCGAACCCCGAATTTTGATGTGCGCCTGAGATTTGTGGGTTCGACAGGTGAGGGAAAGGCCTCCTGTAGTGATGAGGTGAGCAGGCCTGCTTTTCATCTCGCCCGGCTCCCATGCGGCTAGCTTAGCCCCGGAAATAACAACACACAAATTGTATTATTTTAAACACTGCCTGGCCCATTATATCTAGTATTTTCTTGGCTAACTCTCATATCTTGATTAACCCATTTCTAATAATCTGTGTAGTACCATGAGGTGGTGGCTTACCAGGAAAGATTCAGCATGTCTGACCTGGTGGCTGACTCATGGCATCTGCCTCATTGCTTTCTTCCCAGCCTTCTGTTCGGTCTACTCCGCCTACCTATGTTCTGACCTATCAGGCCAAGCAGTTTTCTTTATTAATTAACCAATGAAAGTAACACATAGAAAGACCCACCTACATCAGCCTCCTCCTTGTTGGCCTCTGCTGCAGGACCTCCCTGCTGATGGCTGCAGGGACCTGGCCAGGCCTCTTGTGTGCCTTCTTGGGAGGCTTCTCCCTAACCATGCTGCCAGGACAATTGCAGGGTTATCCTCAGTGGGCCTGAGTGGGTGCCCCATACAGTGTCCCACACAGACAGCCCAGTGACCAGAGGAAGGCACTTTTCTGACAGATGACCTTTAGTGTCATAGATGAAATAGTCCATCATGGTCAAAGGTGACCCCAGCACTCCTCTCTAGAGATGCTGACCTTTGACTGAACTTCTCAGTGCTGACAATGAATTTGCACGAGCTCTTTTGGAACCATCCCAGCTGCCCATGAGACTGGAGTCAGGCTTCAGAGACGATCACTTGAGGTTGAGGCCCCAACCATATCCTGCACTGTTTGAAGAGCATTCAGACTGGAGTCTCCGAATGATGTCTGGTTCTGACCTTGCTTTATTACTGCTCTGCCCTAGTCCCCATGGTTCCCAGGATGTCAAGGTTGGCGACCCACAGGAAGGGTGAAGTCAGCTCCTCCCCACCACCCCAAACCCAGACTACCAGTGTCTGCAAAGAGAGACATCCTCCTCCCTCGCTCTATAATAGCCTTTAGAACTCTGAAGATGATGGCTTCATGGCTAGTTATTTTTGAGAGCTGAGATGGAGACATGTTTTGTTTTCAGGTCTCTCTCTCTTTTTGCCCTGCATATTGTAGAATTGGAGCTTAGGTATTTCAAAAGCTATAATGAAGCCAACATGACCAGCAATGGAATGTGTAGGGATTTTCATCTTGTTTCGTACTGTTCTGTGGTTCCCTGAGGACCCCAGCATGCCCATTAGCAACCAAAGTGTCAATCACTAGAATCCTCAGCCTAAGCAACTTCTTCTCAGTGTTTGGTATTTATAAATAATCACGGGAATAGGAAGCTGTTGGTCAGAATTTACTTTGTCTCCTGTCGAATGTGTCTGTTTCAAATCACCGGAGGAGCGTTGTAGGGCATATATGAAGATATGGGACATAGTCGGTCGTCCAGCCTGGAAGTCTCTGGGTTCAAGGCATTTTCGGCTCTCACAGATGCAGGAAAGCCACTGTGCTCCTTAAAAACTGTTGCCTCCTATGAGCAGACTAGGAGTTGACCTTCACCTAAAGCCAGCAGTGGCCTGGCTACATTCCTTGTGCCGTTTCTTCTCAGATAATGTCAAAGCAGTGGAAGAACAGTTCTGTTCAGGCTCAAATGGACAGAGCCATGGGACGCTTCAAACACTCTTTCCACTTCTCCTCTTATTGTCTGGCCTTTTTGCTTTCCCGCCAGCGATTCCGTAGAGCCCCAAAGCAGGGACTGAGATAAGGTATAAATACTTCACTACAGACTTCACTGTATCTGTAAGAAAGTTTAAGAAAATAACATAGAAGCTGAGCATGAGTCTATAGTCCCAGCACTCAGGAAGTGAGGTCGAGGGTTGTCACTGGCTCAAGATCCACCTGAGGTTCATAGTGAGTTCCAGGCCAGTCTAGGTGATAGTGCAAGATGCTGCCTCAAATAAGTGAGCAAACACGGCAGACCCTTGGCCATCAGATGTACACTGGCACATCATTCCTTGCGCGCGCGCGCGTGTGTGTGTGTGTGTGTCCGTCCTGCTCTAACACTTCCTAACCATGAGAGAGTCTTTCACTGAACCTAGAGCTATGCTGGTGACCAGCAAGTCCGAGCTATCCTCCTGTCTCTTCTCCTGGTTTCCCATGGTGCTAGCTTACAGGCACACGCATAGCCATGACAAGCTCCTTGTGTGGGTTCTGGAGAGTTGAATTCAAGCCCTCATGCTTGCACTGCAAATGTTCCTGCCCACTGAGCCGCTCCCCCGGGCCCTTGTATGTCATTTCTAAAGAGAGGAGACTACAGCAATGATGGTCCGGCCCTCAGACCACCTGAAGAGCAAGTGGCTCCCCCAGCTCCGCATGCCTTGTGTCCTCCTATGTGGGGAAGACAGATGAGATTAGAATTATTTTCAGAAAGACAAAACTCAGGTTTTTTCTTTCCATTTTTTTAAGACAGGGTTTCTCTATGTTACAGTCCTAGCTGTCCTGGAACTCACTTTGTAGACCAGGCTGGCCTCGAACTCAGAGATCAGCTTGCCTCTACCTCCCTAGTGCTGGGATTAAAGGCATGTGCTACCACCACCTAGCCAAAAATCAATTTGACTTAGGCCAGCGTTCCACTCATGAGCTAGACCATCTTCATGTAGACAATATTCTTAGAGAACGTCTCTTAGCAGAGGACAAGATTCACTGAAGCTAAGACAGGATCATCTTTCACAGTAATGAACCAATGGGACCTAAGTAAATTAGGATGAGCAGCCAGTTTCTCATGGTGGATGTCAACGTTGGCCAGTCAGCAGATAAGTCCGAGTGTGCTCCTTGTCTGGCCGACACAGGCCAGCACATTCGGTCAGACCACACGCAGACCCGGAAGTGCTCGGGAAGCACACTAAGACGCCTGTTGTTCCTCAGCAGCTCTGAATGCTTCTACCTCAAACTATGAAATGTCAGAGGAGCGGAGGGTTCTACCCTTTTCTTTTTGTCCCCAATATTATGAGTATGATCCTTGACTGTGTCCACCCCACATCCTGTCAGAAAGCCCAGAGGTGGGAATCAGGACTCACAGCCTTGAGCCTCATGTCAGCGCCAGCCTTTCAGGAGCTGAACAAATGGCACAGGATAGCCATCGGTGTGATGCCACAGGCTCAAACAACGGAAACTCTGTCCTGGGAACTGGGGTCAAATTTGGGGAAGGAAATTAACAAAGCATTCACACAGACGTGAGTCAGGTCCCATTTCCTCTTCAAATGCCACCTGGCTGCCCCACTGAATTACCCACCATGGAGACGCATCGAATGAGCCCAACTACAGCCAGGAAAACTCAATCAGGTTGTCGGATTCAAGTAGCATTTCTGCCGTTCTGTTCGATTTTAAGTGAGAATTAAAATGTTCAGCATTAGCATTATTTGATCCACTGTTTGTCGTCTGTGGATGCTCCTGTGTCTGACTAGGGCAGGCAGGTTGTGAAGACGGTGCTTGGAGGACCAGATAACAAATGGTATTGATCCTGAAGTAATGAAATATTTGGATTTTGGTTTGAAACAAAGTAAGGAGTTCCGTCATTCTCCAGAGAACAGGCCCTACTATGACAACTGTGTCATAATACTCTGTAGAAGGAACTGTCATCCTCCAGAGAATAGGCCTTACTATGACAACTGTGTTATAATACTCTCTAGAAAAAACTATCCATAGCAGAGGTTAGCTCTTCCACAAAAACTCTGTTTCCCACCATTATGAAAAAGTGGAAATAGTGGAGTGAGCTAAAGACTATTGGAGGGACACAGTGCGAGGTGAAGGGATCCTGTCCAGGTCTGGTGGTGTAGGTCTGGAACCCTGGCTACTCAGGAGGCTGAGGCGGGAAGGTTGGGAGTTCTAGGCCAGCCTGGGCAAGCAGTGAGACACTCCGGGCTGTGGTAGCTCAGTAGTACAGTACTTATCTAGTATGCACAAGGCCTAAGCTTGGTCTCCTCCCCCAAAGCTGTGTAGTTCAGATAAGTTTAGTCTAGAGATCAGTGAGAAACTAAAGGAAAGAAATTAAAGTAGAATACTAAAGACAGGAAGGAAATATAAGTTAGAAACAGAATGAATTTTGTAAAATGCGATGTTATCACTTTTCTTTTGTGAGTATGTCACTTCCTATCATTATTTCAGCACAAAGAAAACTTTGTGCGTCCATCCAGGACATGAATGTGAGCCCATAGATGTGGTTCAGTTAGTGGAGCTGCCAGCTGAGCACTCAGGAGTCCCTGGGTTTGAGTCCCCAGCCCCGTCACTGGGGCAGTGGCACGCACGTGAGCCTGTGTCCTGAGTGTGCAGTCTTCTGGTGCTGCCTGCTTAGGAGGATGGTAAAGGTCCCAGCAGTGACAGGAACAGAAAATCAGTGAGCGTATGCTATTCTCCTCAGAAGGGAGGTTTCAGAAAGGCTTCATGAAGACAAGACAACAACTCACCTTCAAGCAAACATGGGCAGGAAATTGGGGGCAGTGGAGATAGCATGTTCTTCTAAGGTCCAGAATACCTCCACTCTTTGGGAGCCACTGCTTTTGCTGACACAAACTCAATATTCTTGAATAATCCAAGCTTAATATACTCAATTAAAATCATGCCCAGCTCCAAGATGAACTCCGCTTTATACCCCCCCAGGAGAAGGTTACCACCTGCCCCTGCAGACACTGCTGTTTCAGTAGGTGACCCTTGCTGTGCTCCCTCTTCTGTCTTCCAGCACATGATTGCAGACACGGTCCGGACCCTGAGACACTGCAGAAGTAACCAGTTTGGTGAGTACCTGAAGTCAGGGTACAATGCATACTCAGTGATGCTGTCACCATTTAAGAAACACTTAGGACCCTAAATTTAAACAGATTACGAAGTGTATGCATAAGTACATGATGTCTTTATATTCTAGATTTTCACTGTGTTCCTTCCCTCCATGTTTGGGATGTGGCACGGCACTGCCCCCTTGTGCAAGCAAGTCTGCACTGTCCGAATTGACTTTAGACAGACATTCACCCGCCCACCCACCCACCCATCCCCTTTCCCCTTTTGCTTGCCCAGTCCCCCAGACTTACTGATGAGTTTAGCAGCACAGCCCTGCCTCCAGCTTCCTTGCTTGAGGACATTTCTGGAATAGCTGTGTGGTTTATTGCAGTGCCTGAAGTAGCCTTCCACTGTTTTTATTCTTTTCAATCCAAACTTCTTCTCAGCTGAAAAAGTCTTTCTTTTCTGAGCACTTTTGTAGAATCCCCTTTGAGACTACATATGCAGTGATATTTTCCCAATTCTGGATAATCTACCTTGTATTTAAATGGTGTTAGCATTTTGCAGGAAGGGGGGAAACTGCCTTTGCTAAGTAGCAAGAGCTTTTACCTGGATGGCAGAATCCTACTCACCCTAGGGAACAGGCATCCTTAGCCCTGTAGGTGCAGAGCCCAGAGCCAAGGCTTAGAAAACTAACCCATGCAGTCCTGGCTTCCCTGCCCAGCTTTGCCCTCTGCTGAGTCTTAGTACAGAAATAGTAATTTTTAAAAAGAGAGAGATAGCAAGGTATGGTGGCACACCCCTTTAATCCCAGCACTCAGGAGGCAAAGGCAGGCGGATCTCTGTGAGTTTGAGGTCAGCCTGGTCTACAGAGGGAGAGAAAGTGTGTGAGGAGGACTGCAGACAGACCTCTGGGAGTTAAGAGCACTTGCTGTGCTTGCAGAGGACCATGGTTCAGTTCCCAGCACCCACGTGGTAACACAGCCTTCTGTAACTCCAGCTCCAGGTTATTCGACACTTAACGGATGTCTGAAGGCTCCTGCACACTCTGGTGCACATACATACACACACTGAGGCACGCATACATATACATGAAATAAAAAAACACTTCAATGGTTATAAATCAAAGATGGTGGAAGTAGACCTTAAGTAATATATCTTTATTGCAATTTATTTCACAAATACTGCATATTTAGAGAACCAGAGCCCCTCCCTACCAAAGAAAGTACTCCTAATTGCTATGCAAGCCTTCAACGCTTATTCTATAGTGTACTGCTCATGGCTGTCAATAGTATACCCCAGCAAATCCAACTAGGAACTGAGCTTCCTATATGTGTTATGAAGTGGAGAACGAGAATTACAGAATACAGGGCCTAATTTTCTAAATATTCAGTTAATACCGCTTGGTATATGCACTGCGTTAGTTCTCACTAAGTCCGCAAACACAGTGCAGTAAGGACCAAAGGCGCACTGTTGCCGCAAAGGGCCCTGCAGACACCTGTGGCTTCACTCGTGAGTTTGCATGCAGATTTTTCTTATTGGTCTTTGCTTCCAAAGTGATCAGCAAATATTTAGCTAATTCTGAAACTGCCAGTCTGATCCATCAAGGAGTAGAAGGTTTTGTGTGTTCCCAGTACGGGTAAGAGGCCTGACCCTTCCACAGGTTTCCTCCAGGACTCTGCATAGCACAAAGTAAAGGAGAAATTTAGCTGTCAGGTGTGTGTCCCGAAAATTAGGCTGAGACTAAATTATCTTACCTCCTTTAACAGTTTCCTTTAAGGAACCTCATCAACAGTGTTAACATGTGGGATAAAGTAAGAAAGCATCACTCCAAACAGCTGTGCACTGTGGAGCACCGTGCAGGGATCAGTGTGATTGTTGGGAATGTTCGTCGTGATATCTTTTGAATGCTTGCTGTTTACAAACTTACCTGTACAGCCAGAAAGCATTTACCAAACAATTTCCCCATGTCTTCCGGAAGGCATTCTAGAATAACAGCTTACAGGTTCCAATGCTGAACTTCCAGTGTTTATTCGCTGAGGCCAGGAAGTCCAAGAGTTAGAAAGCGCCTGTGGTGGACGGCTCCTAAATTATTTCCTTACTAAACACATTCTTCATAGAAGAGGGAGCGGCTGTTTTCACAGCTGCAGTAAATGCTCTTTTACAGGCACACTTCCTCTGAGACTCTCCATGCCCTCCCTGCCAGTCCTCCTCTTCTCTAACGTGGGTTCTTTTCTGTTTGTTTTTTCTCTGTGGTCTTGTCCATGCACCTACATCAGGATCCTTACCAGAGCTGTCCCTGGAAAGCATGCCCATACATGCTCAGTACAGTCTCTCTTGTGGCCTTCTGATTCTTTTACCTCTTCAGATTGCCTATCCTCCTGGGTAGACTTTAGCTCATTCCTATACCCATTCTTGAGGTTCTGTTCTGTGCTATCTCTTCTTTCTTTTTTTTTCCCACTCCAAAAAATAAGGACAACAAAGAGATTTTAGAATCTAAAATAGAAAGAAGTAGAGAGAAGTAAATAACTTAGTAAGCTATTGCGTTCAGATTCTGATTCCAAACAGTTCTAAGCTGAGATAAGAAACCACAGAGGAGGGGTGCGTAGGAACCACTGGACCTGGTTCGCATCCTGTGGTTAGGCCATGTACTTGCTGACCGCTAAGTTTCCTCATCTGTAAAGGGGTGATAGCATGACTTTAGTCTATTAGTTATATACTGAGGATGCCTTGCCAGTCAGCCTGCCTGATATGATCTGAAGTGGTTCATCTCTGGGAACCAGGTTGCCACTTGTAGAACTAACCTAACCCTTCGCGAGGCTTTACTGCATTAGTAGTACCACTGCTCCCACTCCATTGATTGTTTGTTTTCCCTCTAAAAAACTAGGAGGTGACATGTCTCCAAAGGAGCAGCACGAGCTGAAGTCCTATGTCAACCACCTGTATGTCATCGACAGCCAGCAGGCCCTGTTCGAGCTCTCTCACAGGCTGGAGCCCCGGGCCTGAGCTGCCCCGGGCCTGAGCCACGTCCATCCGTCCTGTGACTACAGCACTTAACGCAAAGGGAAGGTCTCCGTTCAGCATGCTGCTTCCTGTGAGAAAAGAGCTTGCTGAGTTCTAGCAGCTACCATGAGACAAGTGCAGGAAAGGCTTTCGGAAAGCGATGCCAGCTACCAGATGCGGAGAGTACCCCCTCTCCCCACCTCAGCGAGAAGATGGAAGGAGTCGGAGCATCCTTGGAACAGGGTCTTTCTTATGATGGTGATTTCAATCCAGCCCAAGTCTCAGCTTAATGGCGTGGCAGCATTAAGAGAAAACATGTCTTGATATATAGCAGCCAGTAAGATTGTGTGTAGCAGGGAGGACTGCCATTCTGCCCGCATCACCTTACTGCCTAGGAGCCATTAAGAGACCGGGAGCATCTGAAGACAGTGAGAGCATCTCCAGATGCCCAGGAGGAGAGGCTCCCGCAGCTAGAAACTGGACATCACCCTGGGAGGCGTGTCCTGCTGTGCAAATAAGAAATGCCTGGCACACCCTTCTTTGCATCCACAATCATTTACCAACATAGGCACAGATGAAACTAGTTTCCGTACTACTGATGCATTCCTGTAAGCGAGGTAGACCGAGTTTCTCATTCAGTGAGGTATTTGGCATTGTTCAGTTTCTGGAAACTTACTGTACGTGTATTTTTGTTGTTGTTGAGCTCAACATGATTTTCAGAGAAACATGGGGCCAAGATCATGGTGCTCGGTGTCCGCTTACTGAGATCGCAGGGTCGCCAGTTTCTGCAGTCCTGTGCCTGATGCAGCCTTGGTGTGTGGCATCCCTGCCCACAGGATGCAGCATGTCAGCCTGTGAGGGATGGAAGTGAAGCTGCATATAGATAGCTTAACAGTTGGCATTACCAGTCTTTCAGGAATTGAAAAGTACCCAGAAATGCCTAAAATCTGACCTAATTGGAGAGTCGGAAGCCCCGGAGTCCATTTCCCAAGAATAGCCAGAGCCTTTCTGCAATTTACCCATTTCCTTCTCATTCCTTGTTTTTAACAAATCAGGCCTCATATACCAAATAAGACCTCTGAGAATTCTCAAGGACTGGTTAGAGAATTTCCCTGAATCCTCGAGGAAGGAAGAGCGCGTGGTTAAAACAAGGCTGCCTCGTGCTAGCTGTTCACTTCACTGGGTGCAAGCCCCCATCTGGTGCAGCAGGTCCACGTTTCCAGTCATGAGTGTGGGTACACTCCTCACACCCCCGAGGGGCTGCCTGCTCAGTGTCCGCACAGACCTGCTTACTCATAACTGAGACTACACTGTGCCCCTTGTCTCCTGATTGCTTTTCTGGTCTTGGGACCACAGTGGGCCTGAAGTACTGATAAAAGGGACTATATGGAAAAATCCTGGGTAGAGATTTCAAAGGGATTGCATCTAAACCAGCATGTAGAATGTTAGTCCTAGAAACTTGCAGGGTGTTTTAGACACACTCCAACTGAGTTCACTGAGAAAATGTTTTACAGGGCTGAGAACCAGTGGACGAGACCAGAGCCACAGAGGCAGGGAAGCAGGCTCTCTTGATGTCTAAGCAAGCACAAGCACCCACAAAGCCCTGGCAGTCTCTGAGAACAGCACAGACTGGCAGCACAGATACCTTTCTTCCGCCAAGCTAGCAGCCAGGATTTGGCTAGTGAGATCACACCAGGCCGTTTGGTCTTGTCTCCGTTCTAACCTAATGTATGACGTCAGCTCTATGCTGCTTTAAGCAGAACCTCAGGACTCACTGGATGTGAAGATCTGTTCTAATAGAACACTGTATGTCCAGGCCTCAGGTCAGCTAGGCTGTGGAAGCCATACCTGCAGCATGCTGAGCACACTCAGAGAATCCTGCAGGTGAGGCTGCTATTCCCTCCAAAGCAAAAGTCAGGTGGGATTTGTTTTGCCATCCAGTCTTCTGAATATCTAAAATCTCTAAATCTTTAACCTTAACACCCTTGTCCAGGAATTTCTCAGGCGGCAGATTCAGGGACCTCAGAAGGTTTGCAGAATTTTAAATCTAAAGTGAAAGAATATTCAAAAATTGTCAGACCCTATATGTTCCACAGGAAGCCCTTCCTACAGCAACTGAGCACTGTGATAGGTGTGCCCAGGAATCAGCAGTATTCCATGTGTGGGGTGACCTGGTTCCTTCTCTAGAGCTTCCCCCTGGGCCTCCCCAGAATCAGTATTGATCTCCCTGGATGTGAACTAGGGTCTCTTCCAGTTTTCCTTTAGATTACATAGCTCTCCGGTCCCTCTCCAAATCCTGTGTAACTGGGATCTTCCCCAGTGAGTGATGCTGGGCTTCTTCCTCAGAGCACAGCCTTCTAGGGATCCTGTGGATCTCTGGAGTCCATTCCTGCAAGGCAACCGCACTTGCTAGTTAGCACAGGAGGCAGAACACAAGTTCATCTAGGGAAAGTCACCAACTTTCCAAATACAAACACATTTGCAGATGCTCCCTAGCCTATGGATTTGAAATTCACTTTGAGTCTGTATAATTGCCAAACAGTTATAGTAGCACATAGTATAACCCACATCCTCTCTTTTCTAGTATCCTTAATTGCATTGAGAATACATTCCTTTTCCTACTCCGATATCTACAAACAAGCAGTGTGGCACATGCCTTGACCTTAGAGGCACAAGAATAAAGTCTCGCGCCTCCTACTTCATAGGTGCACACTCGCCTGAGTGAGCCATAAGCGGTGTGGGCAGGTGACTGCTTATGTAGACTTCTGGTCCTGGAGCTGTCCCTTGACGCTGCGAAGTCCCAGCCCTGTGGGTTTGCCACAGACGGCACATGGACTGCAAACCCTGATCTGAACAGCACAACCCACCCAAGCTTCTCAGAACTGGGCAAAATCATCAGTGTTCAGACGACCAGGGCCACTGCAGCTGTCCAGCATGGGATTTCCTTCCCACTTCAGAGACGTGTCCTTGAAATTTCAGCCTGCTCCTTACTCAGTGGGCCAGTTTTGCTCTAGAGAAAACACATTTTGAAAAATTGCCAAAAAGTCAGATGAATTGTACTACTGTATAAAGCAAAGCTGTATATACTAAGCATTTTTAGCAGAGTGATATTTATTTGCATAGCCTATTTATTGTATTCATATTCCACTGTTGTTAAATACCAGGATGAAATCAGTGATCAGAGCAAGGACTCTTGCTCAGGACTGCTGCAACATTGTCAGCTCGTGAGAACCAGTAGACAATAGAAAGCCCACGGTCCGGGCATCTACCTAACTTCTCAGGGACTACACCTCGTAGTTTTCCACCGTTCTAAGAGCTGGTAAATATGAAACATTTGTTGAATTACCAGACTGCCATTGACAGTGTTTGCTTTCTGCCTCTGTGTATATGTGCTGTGTATTTATCAAAGTAGGAAGCAATAATTTATATGTAAAAATGGCCAAGCAATATAAGGTTAAAACTTATATGAGTAACCATTACCTTATCTTGTATTTTCAAGTGTTTTTTAAGCTGCTTTTCCAAATATAAGACTATGTTAAACATACCACTCAAACTGGACTCCTCTTTCGTGCGTCCATGGGCCTGTGTTCCAGCAGCATCTGGTGCTCTGTCTAGAGCTCAAGTGTTCTCTCTGAAAGAGATACAGGTAAGTGAAGAGCTGCAGGAACCCAGCCACCTACCCTGCTACTACACCTAAACACCCCGAGACTCAATACCACCTGCTGGACATGGCCTCAGGGCTTAATTTGAGCCTTGGAGAGTCCCATAGACCCTGCCAACACCCCACTCTCCTTGAGTTAACTAGGAATGAAGAGAAGTACCAGACCTAGGGATTCCTCTGCCAGGATGGAGGAGATGCACGGTGGGCTGCGGAGGGCTCTGATGGTGTTCAAGGAAAGTGGGGCAGTTGTCTGTCCAATTCAAAATGGCCTGTGGCGTGCAGCATCCCCTCCCATGGAAATGTTGAACTCTGGGATGGCCAGGTGTCTTGTGTGTAGTGAAAAGCAGGAATGACCCAGGCAGTTTGTTTGACGTTCTCAGGAAACCCGTGCTTTCTGTATCGACTCCACTAGGAGCTCCACACTGCTGCAGGTGAAAATGTCCAGTCTGGGTCTTGGAGCTAAGGCAAAAATGGAACAGAGATCCAACTTAGAAGTACCTCGAGAAAAATAGATAACATTGCCATTAGAAGCCACTGAGATTAGCGATTATTTGTTACTCAGCAGAATTTAGCCTGACTGACTATACAGTCTTCCTAGACACTTCTCAGTGGACTTCACTTCACCTTAGACCAGTGGTTCTCAGTATTCCTAATGCTGCAACCCTTTAACATAGTTCCTCATGTTGTGATGATCCCCCAACCATAAAATTATTTTCAATGCTACTTCATAACTGTAATTTTGCTACTGTTATGAATTGTTATATGAATACCTTTTCTGATAGTCTCAGAGGACCCCTGTGAAAAGGTTGTTCAGCCCCCAAAGTGGTTATGAGCCACAGGTTGAAAACCTCTACCTTAGACTGTTGACAAGTCTTACCAGCTTTGCAGGATCTGATGGATGACGTGTGTATCTGTGCAATGTCTTGTCTTTGTGTGAACAAAGATAAATGATATGAAGGCCATTTCCTTTGGTTAAAGCCCAATTGATTGCGAGTTACCAGGAATTAACCCATCTGTACAATGGGGGAAATAGGAGGAAGGTACAAGGGACAGTGTTCTGTGACAGCAGCTGGGAGCAGAAACACTTGCCCTTTTCTATCTCAGCCCTGGCATTGTCACCTCATCCTTGGGGACTTCCACATTAGGGTCTTCCTGAAATCAAGTGCTGTGTGGGCAATAAAAGCAGGCAGCCCTGAGCTTCAGATCTGGGAGGAAGTAGAAGAGAGGGCAGAGCCAGTTTCCTTCCTGACTTCCTCTGGTTCCAGTTAGAAGGACGGAGTAGAGGAACTAGGTTCACAAGAGACAGAATCCTGTGCTCTTTCAAGTCAACAAACCTCAAAATGGAATTTGTGATCCTAGCCCAGTGACCTAGCCGTAGGATGGACTTCAGGGCAGCAGTCTCAGCTTTGGGTCCTATTCAATGATCTCCAATAAGCAATCTCTACTTTCCTTTAGAAGTTACTTGAAACAATTCTAGGGATCCTGCAGTGTGGAGGCAGCTGGATTTTCTCTTACCTAAACAGAACAGGCAGTTGTCCTTCCACACACAGGAAAAGCACACCTGACTTGACAGATGGGTGCTGTGGAATAATCTTTCATACACGGAGAAAATGTGTTGCTCTCATCGTTAATAAAGAGCTGACTGGCTAATAGCTTGGCAGGAAGAGGCTAGGTGGGAGAGCCCAAGAGAGAATGCTGGGAAAGAGGGCCGAGTCACCAGCCAGATGCAGAGGAAGCAGATGAACATGACATGCTGAAAA